GTCTTTAGCTTCTCAGTGCTGTGCTTTAACCCGCTGTGCCACCAGGGAGGGCCGCCAGCTCATTTTTAATACTGGCTTGATGCAACATTCAAAACAAGTCAAGCCCATTTTAGTGCATCTTCAAATCCAGTCTTTCAGGTATTCTGGCTCCCATCTCCCTGACCTGTTTGGCTCCCATGTCCCTATGCTCTAACTGACCCCCCCACCCCCTCCTCAGTGTCTATCTGGCCTTTCCCACTGTCCTTCTCATTAAGTGGTACTTACAGTACTCTTCCCAGACCATTATATCAAGACTTCCAACTTCTAAGTCAGTGCAACTTAAACTATGAAGGTACACAAAGAGCAAAGCCACAGATGTAAACTAGAATTTAGAGAACTAGATTCCTTTGTAGTCGTTTGTCTTAAGCTAATCACATTGAGCTTTAATGCTTTTCTGGTGAGACAACTGAGGCTTAGAGAAGTGATTTCAGCTTGTGCCAGGTCAGAAAATTAATAAATCAAATAAGCACCAAATTAGCAAAGTTTCTGACAGTGTTAACTAAAATGTGGGAAAGGGGGTTCTCCATGGTGGCACAACCGGTTAAAGCACAGCACTATGAAGCGATCAGAAACCACTGCAGCACGAGTTCGATTCCCGGCCAGGGAGCTGACCCACATGCCGTGGCAGACCTCTCCCAACTTGCCTGCTGCTCCCCTTAGCAATGTATTTCAGTAGATCTGCCTGTTCTGCTCCCCATTCTGTCTCTGGTGAATCCTCACACTCACCACACCTCTGGCCTGTACCCCAGTTCTGGAAGCATAAATAAATCTTTTTAAAAAAATATGGGGGGAAATGTTAAGAGAGAGGGGCTTTAGGGCAGTATTTTCTGTTCTGAACTGACACAAGCTATGCAACCTCTGTCGACAGACACAGTTCGGATGGAGGGGAAATGCTCTGAAAAATCAGACTTTCCACGCTAACTTATGTTATGACCTCCCTTTTTTGTATAATCATAATATCAAAATATTCTGAGCAACCTTCAGTTTACAATTGGATTGCCTCAGCCTCATAAGGCGCTACCTGGTCCTGACAAGCAAGTACTGCACCAGGGTGAGAAATTCCTCTTGAAGTCAAAAGTCATTAAACTGTAACAGGTACAGGTTTCATGGACAATGTTGGTGACTGACTGTACTCTAAAATCTGTGCCACCATAGATATGGCGGTATGAAAATCAAAAGGGGGGAATTGTAACAGGTACAGGTTTCATGGACTCTGCCCCCACTCGATGCTGGAACTCCAAATCCCATCAGTACCAAGAAGAAGCACGCAGGGACTTGAGGACGGAGCTGAGCAGCCAGGTTGGGATAAAACCAGACATGTGGGCTCTGGGGGGCTGTTGGCCTGGTGGTTCGCAGCTGATCGTTTTGGCTCTCAATCGGTTTTCAGCGTGCCGGTGGAATCCACGTCAGCAGAACTGGTAGGATATCCTAGTTAACCTGTGCTTCTCTCCCTCTTTCCCTGGGTTATTCCTTTACCTTTCTCCTTATAAATAAATCCATTATTTAACCTTTTGAAGTGTGTCCATAATACGATTGAATCGTAAGCGCACGGGTGAAGACCCACAGACAGGCAACCCAATTCACATTGGGGTGCCCTGTAACAAAACAACTCGCTGATTAATAAAAACAAATAGCTGTTATTGCAAAGTCTCTCTCACTGCCAGACTAAGGAAAACCCAAATCTTATCACTGTATCTCACATAGCCTTCTATTCAGTTTCTAAATAACCACTCAAACTTCCTACTATCTAGTCTTTAAATATGGAAATTCACCCAAGTCACCTATGCAGAGCTAATCAGGTTTTCTACCATCTAGACTTCAAAAAAAAAAAAAATTCACTTAAACTTTCTAACAAATTTTTCAAATAACCTTACCTTAATTTGATTTACAAGGAATTTCCTCTTCCTGCCCTCACTTTACTTTACCCCCTAGGATGTCTCTATGAGAATGAAAGCCATTAAGTAATAGATAATGTTTAAGGGACTTTATTTTGGTTAATCTTCACTGTGGTAAATATAGTAATATTAGTCTTAAACTTTGTGATCTATGTACCTGTTTTAACCTTGATAGATTGATTTTTAAAATGTTATAATCTCAACTAAAGGTCAAAATGATCCCAGACTATTCTTAGAAAAAAGGTGATTGTGATGTCAGCCCATTTCATATGCTAATGTCATCCCTCTGACTGCTTGAAATGTATAAAATAAACCTCTGCTGAAGGCAGAGCAGGAAGACTTGCACCCAACTCCCATTCTCGTGTCTTCCTCGCACCCGCTCCCCTTTTTTCCCCTTTTTCTAGGAATCTCTGCTAGCCAACACCGTTCCCACCTTGAGACCCTGCCTGTTCTGCCCCCCAATAATCCATGGTCCGGGACAAAGAGTCTCCGACATGGAGCCTTGGGCTTAATATGAGCTGACACTTGGCCACTTTGTGTGTCCTCTGCTTGTCTAGGGGACAATCTCATTTGGCCTCATGCAAAGCCTATCAGGCTAGGCCACGAGTGAGCCCCTAGGACATGGAGACCTGGCCGCCCCATACCTCCTTCCGGAGTGTCGAAGATTCTGTCGGGGCTGGCTGGGCCCTCCCCTTTGCCATTGACCACACGGACGTTCAGTGCATAGTGGCTGAAGGGCTCCAGCCCGGGCAACATGCCGTGGGTCTTGTTGCCCTGGAAAGTGAGGATCTTTTTCTCTATGTGGCGTCTGTTTCTTTTTGATGAACCCTGTTCCTTCCAGTAGTAAATCTGAAACGGCAAGAATGAAAGTCAGGGATCTACAAGCTAGCAAAGTAGATTCCCCACTGGAATATTCCCTTGGTATATTTGAGAAGACTACTGGCAAAACTGATAAATACTGATTTCTGAGGCAAGAGACAAATAATGAGTGAAATTAAATTATGGGTGTGTGATGAGCTGTACTACTACTACTTTGTTGAAGTATTAGAACAGGTCCACATAGAAGGTCACTTAGTTCAATATCATCTCTGTATGATGCTAACGAGAAGAAAAATCCAAGCTGATGTTGAACAAAATGACCTCAATTGACCTGCTTTTGTTATACACTGTGGCACTTCCAATCAACTTTTCCAGGAATATATTCTTGGAGTTAGTGTTAAGTGAAGATTTACTGCATGAGTAAAATACATGGGATAGCATCAGACTCATATAGTTTTCTCCAGGACATCAGGAAGTGGAGACAATAGGAGGGGTTAAATGTCTTTTACATGTATAAATTATTCTAAAGTAAAAAATTACTACCTATAATTTATAAACATTTCCAAAGTCAATGCAACTTCTGCTACAATGTATTACCATTTCCTCTCAAAGCAATGAAGCTTTTATTATTGTCATTATTTTTACAGTACGGATGACTCCCGGGCTATGGAGTCCCCGCACTCAAGTCTAGGGCTTCTGCACTAAGCAAACTATATCACCTCATAAGATATACTTAATTTTTGTATTAAGTTACAGCATCGATAAAAGCAAAATAAACAGTTTTGCTTAAAAGTCAAATTTTAAACCAATTGAATTGTCTGTTAAGTCCTTTCAGAATTCTTTTTAGGAATTTAAAATCAGTTTTAAAAGGAATTAACACAAAATCTGGCAAAGATGCTGGGGGTGTAGAACTGAATATGATGCAGTGTAAAGGCCTGACCTGTAGGGGTCAGGCTTAACAAATCATAGAGACTTGTGGGCACAAGACAGTTCAGAGAATCTGTGTCTAAGAATCACATTTTTGTGTGCTTCCTAAGAATCAAGTTAATTGATGTTCTTAAGAATAGCCAGGTTGGGTGTACACAATCTTAACAAGCCCATTTTAGAGCTTTTTCAAAGTACAGTCTGTGTTCATATTTTTAAATGTCTAAATTATTTTAAGGATAATTGTGTGTTTAACACAGTGGTCCGTGTTCCTTTAACACCAGGTGCATTTTGTTATATTCTCTGCTTTTAATCATCATTTCCTCCCATTTTACACATGTGCGAACCGTTTCACTGGAAGAATGTTCATTATAAATGTCAAATGGAAATCTGCGGTAAGAGAGGAGAATGAAAATATGTCAGTGTGTATGTGTTTCCTCGTCGCTCTGGATGCAAACAGATTCTGATACAGTTCTAGCTAGCTTTTTTATCGGTGGACAGACAGGCGGGCTCCAGTCAAAAGACGCGCCCCTGGCATTGGCGCACAGGCTCTGATCACGGAAGAACCCGAGAGTCTTCCCTTCACTTGCCCGATAGCCTTGCAGGTGTCCTCGGATGCTTTTCAGGGGTACAGAGTCCCAGTGCACCTCAGCCAAGGTGCTGTTCACCACGCTCACTCGCACGTTTCCAGGAGCCACCATTGGAACTAGGGGAGGATAGAGAGTGGGGGTGGGGAGGGGGAAAAGAATCAACATTGTTTTGAATTTCATGCAATAATGTTACTGTCAATACTTTTGACTTAAGTATGTCCTAGTTTCCTTCTATGGGTTATCAAAGATTGAGAGTAGATTTGAGGAAATATTTTGTGTTTCCATCCTTTTGTGAGAACAATGTGTCTTTTTTTTTTTTTAAAGCAATGACATTTATAATAACATTTAACATTGCTGTACCTCTCAGTTACATAGCAGGCTGTTTCAACTCAGAAGTGTTGAACAAAATGATTGCTCTATCTCCCTCTCAACCTAAGCACCTCTGGTGACAGCCTTTGCTTGCAAGTAAGTCAGTCTATTTTGATGGGGAAAAAGTATAAGCTTTAATATAAAGAATAAAATATAGTATAAAAGAAACAGCACTGGACACTTACGATCTTCTCCAGAGTGTCCCATGACCACGACTGGCTCTGGAGCAAACCCAGCATCATTCAAGGCTTGGACTTTGATCAGGTAGGGAACAAAGGTTGGCGTGCCTGAGACAATGTATTTGGACACATTTGCCACCACCACAGACGTCCATTCATCGTCACCATCTTTCTGGCGCCAGCTAACTTTGTATTGAAGGCCTGGCCCATTCGATTCGAAACCGTTCAAAGGCTACAAGAGAAGCCAAAATATCACAGTTTATAAAACAGATTGTCCAACCTGTCATTGGAACAGCAAGTCCAATTCCCAGACTTAAAGAAAGTGAACTGAAACTAAAATGCAAGCTTTAACAACTTTCTCCTGGGGTCTTGATTTTTTTTTTTTTTTTTTCATTTATGGTACAATGCAAAGCTAGTTTAGGATCAACATTTCATAGGTTGTAAGGTTGTGAAGTAGTCAATGCCACAGAAGCCCCTCAAAACCAGGCCTCATAACCAACGGTGGGGCGGGAGATTCTTAAAACATTTCGGTCATATAGATTCCTTTATATATTCCTTTTTGTGTGCTGGTGTATCACTGCAATTTTTACTTGGAGTGAAAATTGTGCTGTATTTCTTTAAAAAACAAAAAGGCTGGCTAGTTTCTCTATCTTGTTTCTACATGTAAAAATACATTTAAATATGTAGAAATAGGTAAGCATCAATGTATGGCCATATAGATCTATTTAAAATTTATTGTAAATTGCATAAGAAAATAAACACTAATTTTCCAAGCCCAGAAAATACAGATAAGCCAAAAAGAGGAAGAAGGGGAGGAAAAAGGGATGGGGAGATAAGAAGCAGAAGTGGAATTAGCTGGGAATCAGCTGGTATGTGCTTTTGGATGGCTCTCTATGATGATGATAATATTAGTTGGCACTCACTGAGAACATACATAGATTAGTAGCTTTTTCAAACTATGAGGTCAGCTCTGTGACTATTTCCCCCATTGAGATATAACATAATAGTGACGTTAAACAACTGACTTAGAGTTCCATAGTCACTAAGTGGCAAAAGTAGGGTTTGCACCCATTCATTTTGGTTCCAAGTCTCAAGCTTTTCATTACTACCTAACACTGACTCTTAAATAAAGATAATATATATTGCACTGCAAGCTACCCACAACTGCTTCAGTGCAAGTTCAATCTCCGGTCCCAGAGGTGACCCACATGGCGCAACAGACCTCTTCTGATCTGCCCGCTGCTCCCCTCAGCAGTGTTACTTTGTCAGTCAGCCTGTTCTGCTCCCCACTCTGTCTCTGGTGAGGCCTCTCACCACCCCTGCTCCTCTGGCCTGTACCCCAGTTCTATATGCATAAATAAATCTTAAAAAAATCCTATTATAGGCCCTCCCTGGTGGCACAGTGTGTTAAAGCACAGCACTAAGAAGCTAAAGTCACTGCAGAATGAGTTCGATCCCTGCCTGCCCCGGAGGTGATCCACATGGTCCGGCAGACCTCTCCTGACCCGCCCGCTGCTCCCCTCAGCAATGTACTTCGACGATCTGCCTGTTCTGCTCTCCACTCTGTCTCTGGTGAATCCTCTCACTCCCCCTGCACCTCTGGCCTGTATCCCAGTTCTGTAAGCATAAATATTTATTTTTAAAAAATCCTATTATATAGAAAAAGATAAATAATACATATTTTCAAAAAATGGATAAAATGAGATTTTAACATATATATATATATATTATTTAAAAACAACTTTCCCCCACTCTAAAATTGAAGGTTTCCCCCAAGGTTTCATATATAGCTTACCTGCCATGTAATCACCAAGTTATCAGGCTCTGATCCTAGTCCTTCCACAGCTATGGGATTTTGATCTGGCTCTAGAAATTAAGTAGTGATATACTGTAAGATATGGACCCTTTTCTGACTTATTTCATTCACATATTTGTGAACAGGAAGAGCCACTTCACCTGCAGCTTTAGTCAAATACTGTTCAGATGCCTCGCTGGGCAAGCTCTTCCCAAGGCTGTTCACTGCCATCACTCTGAAGGAGTAGTTCACATAAGGGGACAGCTTCAGTTGGGTGGTGGTCTGTGTTCCAGAAACTTCCGTTTGGTAGTGCCAAACTCCAGCCTCATGCATTGCATCTTCATATTCAATGATGAATTCTGGCCACAAGACACACACAAGACACCCAAAAAGTGAATTCAGTCACCCAAGGGGAAAGTTGCTAGGATAATAACAGAAAAATGTAAATGGGGTAGTTAAACATAAATTATTTTACTTTCAAAAAATGCCACTAGAATACTTTGCTTTCAGAGTTCTATCAACATCTTCAATACTTAAGCACACCCAGTAATACTGGTATTCTCTCTCTAGCAAGCTTAGTGTAAGAAGATGTACTATGACATAGACATAACTATGCAGTTAAATAGATGCGTATTCCCGCTCAAAAGGAGGAAACGTCTATTACAGCATTTCGGTGTTGCCAGAGAAACTGCAAGTCAGGGGCAGGAGGAGGATTTATTTTTCAGTGCATGCTACTCCTGTCTCTACTAAAATGTAGTATGCACATGTTTTACTCTTACAAAAATTTGGTATTTCGATATTACTAATTGCCTAGATTGTGCCATGTATTTATATGAATTATAGAGACCAAGGAAGTAGAAATACTATGTGTTGTGGTTCTCCAGTGTTAAGTATGCACAGTTCCTTTCTGGTCTATGTTAGTTTGCTGGAGAACTCCAGTCGGTTCTCCTGAACTTTCACGTTGATGTCTGCACCTAACTCTTCCTGCAGGGCAGACTTGGGTGCTCAACTACCTCTCACTTGCTTGTCTGTTATAGCATTTCAACCTGCATATAGCCAAGACTGATCCCAGTCTTCCTCCCTAGCTGGTAGTGACAATGCAAGTCAAAATCTTGAAATTGATTTTGGCTTCTCTCCTCCTTTCGCACTCTCCAAGGTCTTTTAAGCTTTAAAATATATGCAAATCTGACCTTTTCTCAGCACCTCATCCTTCTTAGCTTATTTCAAGCCACCATGACATTTTATATGAATTTATGCATAACCTCCTAATACATAGGTTCTCCAGTTTTCTCAGTTCATGGTATATGCACTGTCTTAGTTATTTTTTTCATGGCTCCCTATGGGCAAAAGAAATATTTGCCATCTCCATGTAAGCAGTTAAATCTCTACAACTTAATGAGTATTCATGTTTTAACAACTGAAATCCTGTACTGTATAACTTCTCAACTTTATAAGCAGATTAGACGCCGCTGCCCTAACTTCCTTTTTCTCTCTGATTTTCACATGATATTGCTTCTTATCACAGCAAAGGCTTTGCAGAGATATGACAGCTTCACAAAATACATAGTAGTATCACCTTGAAAGTGTAAACTGCCTCAAGCTAATATTTCATGTAGTGTCTCCCAGATGTCACTATGTTTTTTAAGTATCAAATTTATAATTCAAAAATCTAAAAAAAAACACAGCAACTTCAGTGAGTTTTCTGAAGTTCCACAAAGTACTTCAATGCACAGTTTGAGAATGGTGATCCTATATGCTCCTTCTGCCTTAGTTCTTATGTCTCCATAGTCTGTTTTCAGTAGAAAATCACTAGGGCCTAATGGAGGAAAGAGACCTGAATTTGGAACGTTACAGCCCTGACATCTGCACCTAATTCTGTTACCAGCTATACATTTGAAAAGCTAATCTACTCACCAAGATTCAATTTTCTCAATACCCAAGTCTCAACTGGAAATTCTAGCACTTGATCCCACTTCCTTCTCTTCTATTTTATTGGGCAAAACAAAAACTAATTTATCATGCATTTCTACCAGGTGGGTAGAACTGTAAGGTGATTCTTCTAGATCTTGAACACAAAATGATAGTGTATTTGCTTAATTAACATTTTCTGCAACCAAGTAGGAGCATCCCACACCAAAATTTGCAACCAGAAATAACCCCAGCTCTGCAGAGAGCCCCAAATAATTTTGTTATATCAGTAACAAGGGGACAATGTCAGCAAATCTCAGTGAAGAATTTCAATTGCATATGACAAGGTGCTTCCAAACGACCATGACATTTATAGGCAATAAAACAAGTGATACTACATACTTGTAATAGGGCTATTGTTGTCATCTCCTGGGGTCCATGACAACTGAACACTTTTATCGAGTTGATCTGTCAATTCTAAATCAAAGGGAGGATTTGGGACATCTGTAGACCAAACACACACATCATCGTTAACCATCTATTCTTACGAGGCTCTTCTCTATTCTGAGGCTGTTTGCAGAAGATACGGCAAATTAAAGACACTGTACACTGAGTGGCCAATGAGCATGCAGCCAAAATGAAATGGTGACAACTGAGAGTGCTGGGGACACAGGCACACCCCAGGTAACCCATCAGGGAGTCTGCTTGCCTCTTCTTAAAGTGAAACTAAATCGTTCACAACGAAACCAGTGAAGTAGGTATGAATGGTCCACCAGAACCCCCAGTATCTTCTCATAAATGTAAATGAGCACAAACAGAAAAAAAAAAAAGGAGTGATGAGTAAGTGGGAAACAGAATAGCAAACATTGAAAAACAAAGATAAATAAATATACTGTTGAAAGGAGACTCACGCTAACTTGTAGATTTGGAGGCTTCCGAACGATGTTTATACTTTGAAGGGAATTCTAAACATGATGCTATTTAGGTAGCCCTCCTCATGCAGCCCTTAAGCAGATGCTAAGTAAAACAGGCAAATGGGGAGGTATGTTTATTCCCATGTGGCATCAGGGTCTGGACATTTCTGGGGACAAAGGGCTCCCAGAAGCTTGTCTGCCCCTTCTAATGATGATTCTGAGGTTCAGAGACTCTATGTTCCTCCTGAGCCTTTTGCTGACTTTGCTCCTGGGGTAATACTGGCTCTTAGGAAACAAAAAGCCATATAAAAATATGGACACTTTCTTCCTATCAGTAAGGAAGCAGTAAATTTTCATAAAGGAAAGGCTTTCTGTAGCATGATGAATGACATTTTGTGAAATGAAGTCAAGGGTATGCTGTAAAATTAACTTTTCTATTTATGTAAGGAATAAACATGAGGATTCCATCATCAACATGGTTTCTGGAACTAATTTCTGATTTATTTTCCAGACTCAGAAAGTCACACCAACGGGAGTGCCCCACTTAAGTCTTTCTTCAGTGACTTGTTTTTGTTAATACACATGAGTTAGTTTCCCTGATACAAAAATCAAATGTTTTTTAAAAATCCATTGTTTTTCCATGTAAATTTCTTAAAAATGGAATCCCAAAACAACATTTGTTCTTTCAAACAACTAGTAGACCAACAAACAAAACAACAAGCTAATTTGTGGAATGCTGTCTCATTCTTAAAATGTAGATGATGGTTTTTGAAAGAGGGACTTTTATCAAATGGAAGGACTTACAACAACACATGAAATGTTTAGAAATGAATGGTAATAGGTTCAGTGAGAAGGTCCAGGGTTGTGATGAAGACATGATTTTCAGCAATAAGTGGGCAACAAAACAGAACATCTGACAAAGCTTTTTTTTCCTTAAAGAAACAGAATGATGTGATAGAGAAAAGAAAGTCATTTTTTTTTCTGCAAGCATGGAATCATTTGACAGACAATAGAAAAGAAGACTCATATTAGTTTACCGTAAATAGGAGCTGGAGTTGGAGGAGGAGCTAGAAAGAACATTAATATAAAGGTTTTTAATCAAAATTAGTAATGGAAAGATATAAGATGTACAAGAAGACAGATTGAACATGATTAAGATTATAAAATTAAACTTTGTACATAGCTGTGAGGCACAGCATTGATAAACATGCAGTAACAATTTAGGGGAAACAACCTTCAACTTAAAGTAAAATTAGATTATTTCCCCTGATTTTCTTATAAAAATATCACTAATGTCTTATCACCTCCATTTTATTCCAGTGTTGCTACAGAATACATCTACACTAAAATGACTGCTTTGAAGACTAAAATGACTGCATGGGTACTAGATTCACCTATAAAACAATAAAACTATAACATGCAAACGTTTAATATGGACAATTTTTCTTTTTAACCTAGTCTAGTGCAGCTGCTTTTGCAGTACGTTTTCTAGTTCTTACCCACAACGCTGAGCACGGCACTGGCAGAAACCATGTCCAGGCTAGTGTTGGCCACGCAGGTGTAAGTTCCGCCATCGTCATCGTTCACATCCGTTATCGCCAGACGGTCCTGGTCAACAGTGAACCTGTGAACACAACACAATCAGTGCGCTGCTAGTCAAACTGACGAGAGAGAAAATGATGGATTGGTGGCATATTAGAACTAAGTTCTTCTACCAGGGCTTTACCATATGATTTTTTTTTTCAGAGATTAGTGATTTTATTATTACTTCTTTTGTAACTTTTTTTTTTTAAAGTGATGCTTGTTTACAGCATTGTATGTGATTTAGGAGAATGTTCACACCTCTCCAGATGCATTTGGCCATGTCACACACCCATCACCCTCCAACATAGACCACAGGGCGCTCTCCTCAATTCCTCAGAGAGCTAAAACGATACAGAATGTGTATTTCTTTGATAATGATTAAAGTTGGAGAGCAATGAGAATGAATGAGGACCTCAGGTGAGAAGGGCTATCAGCATTGGGTCCAGTGAGTCTCTGTCTCCTCTGGAACCAAAGCTCCACACAGATCCGGGCACCCGAGGTGAGAAGGGGGCAGCCCTGGTTACCCCATCTAGAGGACTTTGCTAGGGCATATATATATAATTTAAGATTTATTTATTTATGTATAAAAGAACTAGGGTACAGGTCAGAGGTGTGGGGTGGGTGTGTGGATAAGAGGATTCACCAGAGACAGAGTGGGAGCAGAACAGGCAGATCAAGTGAAATACACTGCTGAGGGGGGCAGCGGGCAAGACAGGAGAGGTCTGCTGCGTCATGTGGGTTAGCTCCCTGGCCAGGGATCGAAATCATGCTGTAGTGGCTGTAGACAACTGCTTAGTACTGTGCTTTAATCTGCTGGGCCCCCCAAAGTGTGTATTTTAAAGTAATTTCTCACTGACTTGCAAAACTGTGTGCCATTTTTGCCACTTGCAATTGAACACTCAACAGAAAGTAAATGAGAATAGTGATTGGGTTTATCAGTAGAAACAGGAAATTTAGGTCAGCAATCATCCTAAAGATTTTTTACAATGTAGCTTGTGGCCTTGAAAAATTACTCAGTGGGTCAAAAATCCATGTAAGTAGGATCCATGTAAGGTTTTAATGAGGTTGCATAAATCACTGTCTTCACTAGAATTTCCAAGTTAAAGCTTTAGTTAACATAACCTGACAGCCATTTCTTCATAGTTCCTTCTCATCTCAACTCAGATTCCACAATAAAACTACCAGTTGGAGCACAGACCTAGATGGAAACTGGACACACTGAAGAGAAGGTGGTTCTTTTGGGAGTCATGAACAATCAACAGGGCGCCACTGTAAGCACCATGGCCAAGCCAATGAACCATGGGAATGATTTTCACCAGCACACCGCATTCCTGCCCATAAAATTCACACACTCAAATCTGGCCTTTGTCAAACTGAAGACCTCATCTGGGATATGGTCTGACCCTTTTTCACTTTTTTTAAAAAAGATTTATTTATTCATACAGAACTGGGGTACAGGCCAGAGATGCGGAGGATGAGAGGATTCACCAGAGACAAGGTGGGGAGCAGACCAGGCTGACTGGTGAAGTACACTGCTGAGGGGAGCAGTGGGCCGGTCAGCAGGGGTCTGCCGCGCCATGTGGATCTCCTCCGGGACAGGCGGGGATCGAACTCATGCGGAAGTTGCTTAAACTTCTTAGTGCTGTGCGTTAACCCACTGTGCCACCAGGGAGGGCCCCCCATTTTCATTTTAAACTTAAGGACCACAACATGCTCAGAAACATGTGGGACCAGGCAGGCATACCCCAGCGCTGTGCTCGTTACAAGTCAGCATAAGCGCATATAGAAAGCTTAGAAACACTTCACCTTTCCTGGCCTTCCTGCCCTTTCTTGGCCTTCCTGCCCTTTCTATCAATGTTAGGTGAAATCAAAAGAAAATCCCAGTGTTCTTTAAAATACTGACAAGGATTCAGGTACACTCTGGTGATTAAAGAGATCATATTTCCGCTTACTTGTAGAATGGTAATGAAAACATCTGTTGAGATGTCACTGTACAAGGTAGAAAACAATGGACATTGTCCAAGGCCTGAAAGGTTTTCCCATCCTGAATTACACAAGAGACTGACACATAACGATACAGAAACATTCTCAGGGTAAAATTTCAATAGCTCAATACCTTTTTAGGCTTGAATATTTTACATGGGGAAGAAAATGCATATCTATATTTTGGGCACAGAAGATATCAGTCAGAGAATTGGAAAACATTGCATTAAATCACTATACAATAAACCTTTAGAGCAACAGCCGCTTAAAGAGAGAAGGAAGGGAGAAGAAATCAGCTTGTACCGCCCATCACTGAGCAGCTCGCTGCTGTCCTTCAACCACGTGACTGTGGGGGTCAATGTGTGATCATGCTTCACTTTACACTCAAAGGACACTGTGCTCCCTCTTTGCACAACTGCATATTCAGGCTGTTTTATGATCCTCGTTGGATCTGAAAGATAAAGTGGTTGTTATCTACTGCCAAATCTGGAGAATTTGCTCCAAGCTGCACAAAACTTAAAAATACTGTTACCTCTGCCTTACCTTTGATTTCTAAGTGGACTTCATTCTTTGCAATTCCTAAATTATTCCTTGCAATACATGTGTAAGTTCCTGTACTGTCCTTCTGAGCCACAGGAATTTCCAAAGTTCCATTTTCATGTAAAACATAAATATCTTCATGAAGAGCGCTACCTTTAGCTCCTTTAAACCTTCATTATAGAAACAATTACAATGAGAACAAAAACATCAGAATTTGAAGTCAGACATAAACTGCCATGCTCCAGGTCAGCACATCTATTGACTTGGCATTATAACATTAAGTTTACAGCTCTCTGGTATCTGCACTAGTTTTTAAGTTAGTGGGGTCCATAAAGACAGATTGTAAAACTGGAGAACTCAAGGATACATGGTGCTTGAAGAATCAGGATGGCAGTCCAAAGTCTTAAATTGCAGTTTTAATTGTTAGCAATTTATAACTTAATAAATAATAATTACATATGCTATCACCAAATAAAAGATAAAATATGTAAAATGAAAACTACTTTTTTTTTTTACAGTTTCTTCTACTGGGATGTATTTATAACTGTAGGTTATAATGCTATTTTGATTTCAAGGTTAAAGGGTTTTATTTTTGAAAGTATAAATAGGAAAATATTCAGGAAAGAGAAAACTAAAGCATGTATGTCATGTGTCAGATAAGAAAAGCGAGGATGGATTAGAAGTGGCGAGGCAAAGTCAACCTAGGCTAAGAGTTAACCCCTCACTAGGAAACCATCTGCTCTAGCCCCAGTGTTTCTGTTCTCTGTGGTCAGGATGAGACCTGAGAGACTGGCCTTTATCCTAAGGAGATTTAATCTCACATGAGCCCAGCACAGTGTCTGATACCTGTTTATTGATCACCTGATCAATACACGAATGTTCTGATTTTCGTTCACTCATTGTTCTAAGCTGCTGTATCTCCTAGCCTTGCTCCAACTCATGCTGAAGTAAACAAGCTAGGCGGATGAACAGGATTTATATCAGGAGGCTACGTCAGTAGGAGTGGGACAGGAGATGGCATGGACGAAAGTCGGGGATGAAAACACAGGCGGGCTGCAGCTAAGCCTGCATTCAGCTCAGGTGGGTGAGGCAATAAGGATGGAGACTGGTAATACCAAGTTTTGGTTCTGAGCTTAGAGAAGTTCTCGCCCACCCCAAATGATGTTTTATTATCCAAGACTATCCCCCAACCAGTCTCTCTGACCACCACTCATGAAGTCTCACTCAAGGTGATCCTCAGGGCATTGTAAAGACAGCAACCTGAAGTTTAAATGTTCACATGTTCTTCTGAGATTGATAAAGTGTGCTGTTAAATAGACAATAATTGTGAACTTAGTAGCTAATAATTGTGAATGAATTTAATAATTTCTAGTATGATGGCTTCTGCCCCAATTTTTCCCTATCTGTTCTCTGACTAAAGCTCAATATATTGAGAAGTTTGAAGGCATTATCATAGGCAAAATATTCAGAAGCAAATAGAACCATTACTTACCACTCAATGGTAGGTAGAGGAGACCCAAAGAAGGCACAATCTAATAGAGCAGGCCTGTTTGCAATGACCTGGTAGAGAGTGTTTGCAGACGTAAGGATTCGTGGTGGCTCAGCTAAAAGCATTTTAGAGAAAAGTAAATATTAAGGTAAAATAAACATGTAGGCCCACCATTTATTTTATTACAGACTACGTTTCCGATAGTCACCTCAAAAAAAAAAAAACCAAAACATAAAAGCTTGAGTATATCATTAGTTCTCTAAACATAATCATTGAGTTAATAAGAACAAGTGACTTGAATGGAGGCCAGACAGTATAACGAATGAATTATTTTCAATACATTAGAAGTGTGCAATTGTTACTCAACTTCTCAGTTTCTAAGGCTGTACCACAGCAACATTCATTATTAATAGCAGACAAACACTATTTTCCTTCTGAGGGCTTTGACACTCTCACTATCTGCAAATGCAGTCGAATATTGACTATTTCTGAAAGAATTTGTGATTATAAAAATATGATGAAAGAATGCTGTGACCCGACTGTAATCCCCTTTAGGGCAAAGTCTGTGTCTTATCCACCTTTGTACATCCCAACAGCCGGTACAACACTGCACACAAGAGATGTTCAATACACATCTGCCGAATGGGGAATCTTTCGGGCACTCATTGATTTAATTTGCTGTGTCTTTAGAGAAAGGAGAGCTTACCCAGCACATTTACAAATGCATTTGCCAGTAAATATCCATATTCATTGGAGGCATTGCACTGATAGACGGCACTTGATCTTTCTTGAACATTTGAAAAAATAATGGTATCGCCATCAATTTTCCTGCTGGGGTCATCAGGTGCAACTGTTTGGTTGTAAAAATGAAACATACACATTTATTCGTTTTTGTTTAAAAGGTGTATATTGAACTTGTAAAGCTTGAGCTCTACAGTACAATAAGTAGCAGAATACATGAAGCCTAAAGAACCCAGGCAATGATAAAGTTTTTCTTCCCTTCTGGTTACCAGTTATCAGCATGGATATATGCTCAATATTCATTTAGTTTTAAGAGGATTGATTCTTATGAGAATGACTATTATTTTGAGAGATGCACTGAACAAAAGCACAAGTTAGGTGAAAACACCATAACAAATTCAGGAAAACACTGTCTTGTTCACAAAGAAGCTGGGGTTACTTTTGAGGAGGCAAGTTATATCAAAAGGAGAGAACAAAAGCTAGTCAAGAAATACAAAATCACTCTGACTTATTCAAACAGGCATCTTTTAAGGATCTCGTATTGAAACAGGTAAATAAGGAAGTACATATGTAAATACACAGTTAACAAACAAACATGATAGTATTTTCCAGCTCTAGAACACCTGAGGCTCAAGTAAAAATAAATCGTGGAAATTTTCCTGTAAGACAGAGTGTTTTCAACTAAATCTCTTAAGTACTTAAAAACACGTCAAAGCCAGGATTGACCCCTATGAAGCAGAAAAGAACTGGTTGGGTAATAAATGTGAGAATTTGAAACTGCTGTGCTATTGGAGATAAATTCCCTTTAGTGAATGCTAGGAATTAGGCTGTGACCTTAATGTAGCTTTAAAAGTACACTGAAAGAGGTAATAGGTATCTGTCTCAGCATGCTGATCAAAATCAAAGCTGAATAACGGCACTCTTTTACTGCTCTTGCAATTCGAACCACTTAAGTAACCTTTACTTTCATTCTAAACCATTTTTTCTTGTTCCTGACAAGACATGAATGCATGTGAGACTTATCACTTCATTCAGATGACTTCAACCCTTTAAAGTTTCAAAAAATTCGTTCACCTGTTACTTATAAATTCATTACTAAAAAAATAAGCCAAAGTATAGTTATTCATCCTTGTTTTATTACACATCTTCAAAGTATCGTGCACACTCTTCCTGTGTTATTTTTCTAAACTGTTGCAATAAGAAGTCATCACAAACTGAGTGGCTTGTGACCATACAAATTTAATATCACATAGTTCTGTCTGTAGTTGTTCAACCACAATCAATAGCTAATTTATGAAATCAGCTGAGATCTTCCAGCATGTTTAACTAGCGACAGGGGTGTGCTGAGATACGTTCGATTTGGCATCTGGGCTCATCCCTGCACTTTATGACTCTAATAATGTCAAAATTGCTTTAAGGAACTTGTTCCTCTAACAGGAAGACAAAAATAAGTTCTAATGACATTAACAAGTTATAGATTTCAACAATGAAGGAGAGCAGAGGATAGAAATGCCAACCTGGCCTAGGAAGTGACGATAGCTGTGACAAGCAGCTGGCTCCCTGAGACTGCAACGCACCCCGGGCTCCCTGTGTCCCTTGCCCCAGGCGCCACACCTAGGATCATGGGCCCTCTGTGACACACCTGCTCTCAGCAACACCCACCCACTGCCCAGCCAGGCATGAGAGAAGAGCCACATTTCCGGAGACTCTTTCCCTGTCACTATTCTCAGTGCTTGTGAATCCAGCACGTGGGTGCTCAGTGTCAAGACTCCACAGGGGACTCTCGTGCCCACCATGAGCCCACTCTGCCTCTCCAAACACCAGGTAGGGGACAGCTGGCAGTGCAGTGCACAGGCAGAGCTTGGGGCTGGGCCGCATCTCTCTGGTGGGAGCTGACTATGCAGAAGTGCTCCTCAAATTCCTTGAGTGCATCGAGCTCTTAAGAGCGACACAACTGTGTGCCGTTGAATGGGTATGGAGTTTCAGTTTTGCAAGATTAAAACATTTTGGAAATGTTTCACAATCCTATGACCATAGTGAGCTCCACTGAGCTGCACATTTAAAAAGGTTAGAATGGTGAATTTTATGTTATTTTTAAAAATTTTATATTTTTTTAACAACAACAGCAAAAATGTCATCACCATGAATAGGCAAGTTCAGTGTCAATTAACAAAGCCAGTAAGATAATCCTCCCTTGGCAAGGACTCATTAATTACAACATAAGTCATTAAAAAGAAAAAAAAAAACCTTTCTGTCACTCATGGTTGCATTTTTCTTTGTTCTCTACTCTTCAATGTTATTCTTTACCCAAAAGGCATCTGACTGTATCTGCCATTTTTCTGCTAACTGGACCAGTCTGCAAATATTTATTTTTGCCAACATATTGAGGAGTAAAATAACCCTGTAAGGAAGAGTAGTGAATAAGCAGACCTCTCTCAGGGGGGTTGGGTTACATTGTCCTCAAGCACTTGGTAAAGAAGCTCAAGCAAGCCCTGCGTCAGTCTTGGTGACAGATGGAGGCATAGCTGGTGCCTGGACAGTGACTGTAGCCAGGGTGCAGGTACTCAAAGCCTTACACTCTGCCCTGGCTGCTGGGTGAGAGTAACTCAGCATCCACATTATCCAAGGGATAATTCATTTGGGGAACTAACATCTTCATTTGCTATAAATGAGCACTGAAGACACACAAATTCAAGAACATTAGGTCATCACATGGATGCAAAGCCCCAAAAGTGAGGTCCAGAACTGGCCTGATAGCTTTCCCATAATATTTTCTTTCACTCTAACTCTCCTGACATATGGTGGGCTAAACGTACAAATGTTTTCAACATTTAAATAATGGAAACGGTAATAATAGTAATTAGTGCTACCTGACATGTAGGGAGTCCTATCAAATTTTAAAAAAATTTTAAATATATTGCACTATTTTATTTAAAAAGGACTTTGTGAAATAGTATATTTATTTTGGACAGGAGATGCTAGAGACTGGAGCATTTCATAGCATGAGATTAACGCTCAGCTTTTCTGAGTTAATTTGCTTTTTAAACACCTGCTGAAATCTGAACATTTGGGCATAATGTAGAACAAATCTCGGGATGAAGAGCTTCATCTACTTCTTCCATCTCCTGTAAGGAATGCTAATAGGGTCCTTCACTTGTGAGGAAAGGAAGGAAATGCGTTGGAATCTTGGGAATCCCCCACATGATGACTCCATCCTCCTGGCTGTTTATCGTGTGTTATTGCTGACTTTTAGTCTCTCCCTCCCATGGAGTGGCTATGTAACAGAGACAGGAGGCTGCCCCAAGCCCTGCTCTTCATTCATTTCACACAATGGTCCCATATGTGCTCTTTATAGAAGAACCCAGGAGGTCTACAGCCGCTCACACAGGAGGCAATTAAAAGACTACAAGAGGTCTTCTAAGATAGGGCCAGCGATCATAGTTCCCATAACCTTGGCCATCTTCATTCTACCACCACACATTCTCAAATGTTGCAGTTCACACAATAAAACTAGCATTTTATTCTGGCACCAGCTCTCTGCAGCTGTGTTCTGTTACCTGACTTCTGTAGGTTGTGTAGGTTGTGCTTAAAATGTTTTCTGTGGTTTTGCGAAAATTACATATTTAATGCAATCTGGTTTTTGCTTCAAGGAAAATCAAAGTACCCTGGCCAGTCCTGGGAGAACAGAGCTTTGGAAGACCTTGAGCTAGAAGCCCAGACACTTCTTGAGTTAGTTTTCTAGTTTTGTAAAACAGTAGATTCCAAGTCTGAAATACACAGTCACAAATCAGTGACTGGATTTTGCGGACAGAACCCAAGTCTCGCCCCGCCCTTCTCCCTGAACCTGCTTCTCATTTTGCAGTTTTTCTGTGCACACGGCAGCAGAGGCAGGCAGAGGACGTGTCCCTGTCCTTAGGTGATCTCCAACAAGTCGGGAGCCAGGAGGCTGTGTATCTGGCACCTGTTCCCTGGTACCATCTCTGTCGTGAGGCACCTGTGGGGGTGCTGTCCAGCTCCCTGCACAGAACCCCACAGAAGCATGACTGTTCCCAGCTCTCCCGCTCAGTGGCTCCTTAGGAGGTGGCATGGCCAGCTAGCCAGCTCATGTGCACAGCTAGCTCCCGGGACCTCCTCCCGGACCATGGAGCCAATTCTGTCCTGCTGTATGCTACAGTTTTTGCTGTCTTTTGCCTCCCTCTACCTCTCTGCCATTCTTTCCCCCTATCATTGCTAGAAGCATCTGTGGGGAGCAAAACTCAGCAAACTGCAGATGAGAAACAAATCCCAGTCCAAATTCCATCCTGGTCCCCAAATCTCAAGGGCAATTATGTTTCGGGGAGCACAAATTCAGGAGGCAACTATCAAACAGGGTAAAAGGGGAGAGGTGCAGGACTCCTCCTGCTTTTATTGTTTTCTTTCTGACAGTTTCCTTCCTCATTTACTTTTTATGTTGGATCAGGAGACTTTAGCACAAGCTGGAGAGTCTGGCTCACTTTGAACTTAGCTGTTTAGACTGAGTTTTTAAGCCAAGAGTCTCAGCAGAAGCTGTAGATGAGCCAGCTGCTGAGGGCAGGAGTGGAGAACAGCTGTGCCTTTGCAGTATCGCCCTGCAGGGAGCCGTGAGGGTGCCTGCCAGGCGCTGCAAGTCAGTCTCCTCAGTGAGCAGTGCACGTTTCTCTTGGCTACCTCATGCTCTTGGTGTCAACACACAGCAGCAGCAGCACAGGCAGCCTGGCGGGGCTCCTCTGCTTTGTGGGCAGGCTGCGTGGTGTTTCTATCCGGGAGAGAAACTGTTGGGGGGTGGGGGTGAGGGGCGTCAGCGCTAAGACATGAGGGAGGTGAACCACCCTGGACCTGAGGTGTCATAAAATTCAGACTCTGGCCCTCCCTGGTGGCGCAGCGGGTTAAAGCGCAGCACTGAGAATCTGAGGCCACTTCCGCATGAGTTCGATTCCCGCCTGCCCCGGAGGTGACCACATGGTGAGCCAGACCTCTCCTGACCCGCCCGCTGCTCCCCTCAGCAGTGTACTTCGTCGATCTGCCTGTTCTGCTCCCCACTCTGTCTCTGGTGAAGCCTCTCGCCGCCCCTGAGCCTCTGGCCTGTACCCCAGTTCTGTATGAATAAATAAATAAATCTTAAAAAAAAAAATTCAGACTCTACCACTGCTCATCCTCATTTTTTCCTTCCAGGGGGACTTAACTAATGCTTTGTGGATGAAGACAATGAATTGATTTGGAAATTTACTTGAAAGGTTTTTTTTCTCTTTCTGCCCTGGACCAAATCAGATGATTAGGGGTTAGAGTAGAAGAGTCTAACTCCAGAACCACTCTTCAGCAGCCCCTACCCAAACAGGTGTTCCTCAGTGACCGTCCCTCCAGCATATCAGCAAAAGGATAACACCTATGAGTGCATTTTCAAAGCTCTTAATACAACTCTAGCCAGGAGATCCCCCAAGAGGCACTGCCTGCCAGGTTAGGAAGGACAATAAGCTAAGCAAATCAGGAGGAAAAATCAGCTTCATTATTTAATCTCCCCTGGTTCTTGTGTCTTTCTTTCAGCTACATCTCAATTTTCCTGGCTTATCATTGTGCTATGGCTGCAGAGCTCAAGGATTTCTCTTGTCAGCATGCCCTGGCTCCCTGGTTTTCAGGCTGAACAGGGAGACTGGTGGCTCTCCCACTTGTCAGTTTCGCTCTCCATCCTTCTCAGGTCCACTGTTCAGCCTTCTTTAAATGGGCACAGCTCTTCTGAGCTGTAAAATGTGCTGCCAAGGTGCCGGGCACCACCCTTTATTGTAATGCTGCATGCATTCCTGAGCAAATCAGGTGTAGTAGTATAAAGCTTCGTTCTGGGCTTTCTTCCACTCTTTTTCTGTTTTCATTCCTATACCTCTGAAGATAGCAGCGGCTCCCCTCACAGTCACAAAGCACTCTCTGCATTTCTTCCTGAGCCAGTCATGGTTAAAGCTGGCAGTGGAAATATCCAAACCCCATTGCTTTAGAATATTTTCTCCCAGGAACACATTTCCAGGCAGTAATTACAGGCTGTCTGTTTCAAGTATGTGATGACTACTGTATTGGGTGACACAAACTAATGACTAATAAACACTGAGGGAACAGGGCCACAGTTCTCTGTCTAGACCCATGACTGCAAGTCCTTGTTGGTGAGAAGTGCGGGCAGAATGTACCAGAAGTTTTCAGGTCCATCATAGAAGATGGTTTGGGAGAAGCCAGTTTAATGGGACTTTTAGTTATGCAAAAGTAGAACCAATATTTGATTCTGGCTTGGAGGCACTAAGAGGCCAAGCTGTTCTAGATCACGTACTTGCAGGTCATCTTTATTGTGAGTAGAGAATATCTTTAAAGATTATTATGATATTGATTGGGGTGTGACCCTGAGGCTGCATTTTAAAGAGAAATTGATTTCCTCTCTCTGGTCTACCAGAAGCTCTGTGCCCCCAAGAAAGGAAATTGTTCAAAGATTCTGCTGTGGGCAGCAGGTGCTGGCAGGTCAAGTTGAGAAAAAAAAAAAGAGCTGGTAGGTTCTCTGTGGGTGACCATGGCTTAGGAAGCTGGAGCAGGGGGTGTGTTATCCATCTTAAGGTTTTATTCTTTGCTTTGCTGTAATTTTCTTCTGTTATTCTCAAACTTTAAAAAAAATTTTACATTATTCTTCATTTTGTACATTTTTTTCATCTCAGTTGTAATCCTCAGGACTTCCCATCACCTCTACACCCAGGTGACATCTCCATAGTCCCATGTGCTCTTTCCGTTTTGGTCTCGTTCCCCTCTCCTCCCCTATAGAATGTCTCTGGTTTATAGTTGTTAGTTGATGTTCTTTTTTACTTTATTAAATTACTACCTCTCTCTCTCTCTCTCTCTCTCTCTCTCTCCCCCCCTCTCTATATATGCTCTCTATATATGTAGAGAGATATCTACTATCTATCTATCTATCTTTTCCCTGATCCATTACATTCCTACTATGAATGAAACCATCTGGCATTTTTCTTTTTCTTTCTGGCTTATTTCATTAAGCAAGATCTTTTTCAGTTCCATCCATGTTACCGCTCTACTCTCAAACTTTTAACCAAGCTTTGTGAAAATGGTCTTTGCTGTGATTTAGAAGATTAACGGAAGGGCCCACGGCCACAATTTGGGGATGTGTGCCAGGCAGCATAGGAAGCAGACTGAGCGAGCTGGCAGTGGGGCAGGACCGAGCGACACAGCAGCGAGCTGGGTAAGCCTTGCTCTAGGGTGACCTCAGCTACATGCGGGGAGGAAAGCAGGCTAGAGTGAGTGTCCAGCGTAAGACCCCAGTCAGGGGACATATTTTTCTTTGGGTGTTAAATGGGATTGTGTTCTCTGAAGACTGGAAAACTTGTGAAGAGTTGGGCTATGTTTAGAAATGAAAAAACTCTACATTAAAACAATGTTGTTTCTTATTCTTGTCATATTTGATGGTTCTCTTTCTAGTCTTCCCACCCATCTCTGCTAGGATTTGTCCATAAATCTCTTGACATTTCAAACAAAGGAGATAGTCTAAACTTTTCGATGATGTTTATTTGTCACCCTGCTCTGTCATTCTTTCTGTAATCCATGCAGAAAATATTGCCAGCTCCCAATCAACACATACCATTAGGTTAACAGCATCCAGTCATAACAAACACTTAAGGAAATAAAATAGAAAACTAAAGGAAGCTGGTGCCTTTGGTTAGCTTATATACTGCTTCCTTCTTAACCCAAATTATTTTATCACCTTTTGATCCCTGTTGATCTGTAGCTGCAGGATATGCCTTCCCCAAATCATCAGAGAAGCCTTTCCTAAGATATCCAGAGCAGACATGTGTGTCTCCCTGGCCTCTGGGCTTTGAGACTAACTTCTGTCATCACCTTAGAGAATAAAGGATACCCAGATTCAGGATCATCTCTACAGGGAAAAATCTGTCTTATGACAGAACAAACATCTAGATCATCTAAGGCCTTGTCATGAGTTACGGGCTCCTCCTCTTGTGAGATATCCTCTCCCCTTGCTATACCAGGCCGCTATCCTAATTTTTAGTTTAGGATATAAACCCTCAGTCTGTCTACTGATTTCAGAATTTAAAATTAAATTACTCCTATATGTTATTTAAATTGGTCTTTTATTCTAATAATTTTTGTCCATTTGTTTGCTTGACCAGCCCAAGAAGAACCCTGAGGGGTAGGGAAGCTTCCCCCCTGCACTCCATGTAGCTATATTGTAAAAAAAATACTGAAACACAGCCAATCACAGAAACTTACTTTCTATTGGGACTCCATTTGATAACCAGCTAATTCTGGGCTTGGGGTTGCCATTAGCTCTGCAGATCAGGGTCCCATTCTCTCCTGGGGACAGCACAAGATTTTGTGGTACCATGATCCAATATGGAGCCGCTTTTTGAGGAAAGAAAAAGATCTGAATCAAAATGAAATATTCTAGCTAACTGCATATATCAAGTTATTTCAAAATGAAAATAAGCATTTTGCAAAAACATTTGTTGGCTTAATTCTTGCAGTGAATAGACTTAAGTGTTCACAGAGTGATTTATATTTGCAAAAGGATGTTTAAAGAGACAAGTTGACAGAATATGTGAATTTTTTTTCCTTAGACCCTTATATCATCTTGTTTTACATTAAGTTAATCAGACATCAAAAAAGTGACAGATGTATCTGAGGTTGTAGAGTAATTTAAAGAAACATGCATTTAAAATCTCAAGCCCATAGAACACATATAAATATAAAATTAGGAAGCATTTTTTTAAAGCTTCATTTTTGAAAAGTTGCAAAGCTAGTATAGTGTCCCCTAAGCCCTATCACCCAACTTTTTCTAATATTAACATCTTCACCATGATACACCACAAACAAGAAGTTAACATTAAATATAACAGCATGCATTATTTGGATTTCCCCATTTTCCACTAATCTTTTGTTTCTACTCCATGCCTGCTGTGTTTACCTGTCACATCTCCCTCCTTAGTTTCCTCCAATCTGACAGTTTCTTGGTGTCCCTTGTCTTTCATGACTTGAGAGTTTTAAAGAGTATTGATCAGTTTTAAAGAGCATTGATCAATAGGTAGAATGTCTTTCAGGTTCAGTTTATTTGATGTTTTCTCATGGGTAGACTGAGGTTTGGGTGATGGACCTTTCCAATTGCATCATATCAGAGATTACATTGTATCATATGATTTATTACTGGTTATGTTAACCTTGATCATTTGGTTAAGGTGGTAACTGCCAGAATTCTCCATTACAAAGTCACTAATTCCTGTTTCCATAAAACAGCCATTAGAAGTGAATTTCTAAGCCCAGTCCACACTCATGTCCCATCTCTATGAAGAATTTGCATATTTTTATTAAAACTACTTTACTAATTTTCTTGGGAGACAGGTCCTTAATTCTATGTAAATATCCTGTTCTTCCCTAAAGTTTCATCCACTAGTTTCAGCCTTCATGGGGGATCTTGCCTGCAGCAGCCAGGGAGTCTAAAGGTGATTTTCTATTTTCCTCATTCCATCTATATATATTGAGATTCTATACAGAAGATTTAAGGGAAAGAAATTTTTAGCCTGATTTAGATATACTATAAGTAGCAACAAGAACAGAGTCAAGGTTCTTTGAATGTTGACATAAACTTATATTTATTATTATTGAAAAATATCATCAAAAGCATATCTGACTGAAGATTTAGCTAAATTCCTTATTAAGTCAAGAACAACACACTTTAAACAATGATGTACCTTTAACTGTGACAGAAATTGTATGATGAATGGCTCCTAATGCATTTTTTGCTATACACTGGTAATTTCCAGAGTCTGCTTCTGAAACCTGAGTGATCTGCAGAGTTTTCTTAAAGTTCCTATAAAATGTTCGGTTGACTGGCAGCGTTCCGTCTTCTTTTATCCAATAAATAATAGGGGTAGGCCTGATAGGATAAATAAAACATGATATTACCAAAAAAAAATTATGTGTGACTGTTATTGAGGGCAAACTGTATGCACATTTATAACAAATTCTTCATATAAAGATCATGAAAAGTATAGATATGTTAACTCATATCAAACTTTTATAAAAAATGCTCAGTCTTCTATTTAATTTGCTAATCTGCAGCTTTCACATCATTAGAACCACACTAATCCATACTACACCACAAACACAGACTTCAGACATGCAAAAACTGCAGTGAGATGCAGTGAAAACTCTGGCCTGAGTTATTTTGTTGAAGGGACCTAATTATTTTCTTCAATGTTGTTATCCTCTGGGGAATTCTTGGGAATTCTACAAGGAGGTACTATGTCAATCAAAAGAATTACTATGAAATGAAATGAATGATAGTTATTTCTTATCAGCTAGAGTTAAAAATGTACAGAAAATGAGATAATATTTATATGTGTGTGTGTAAATATATACATGTATGCATATATCTGTGCCTGTGAACTTTAACACATCACATTCCCTTTTCAACTATTTTATAACAGGCCATCTGATGATGAAAATGAAATAACAGGAGGAATAGCATACTTTTATAATCTTATTATTAGTAGTATCTTAAAATATTACCAGTTGATAAGCATAGATAAAGCTCATGTATTACTCATACCCTTTCTTACGGATTTGCTTTTCTTATTAAATCATAACATAAAAGAACCAGATGAAAAGCTAGAATGCAGGCTTGAAGTGAGAAGGACTGCTTCAAATTCCCAGCCCTGTCTGAAAAATGTTCTCCCACTTGGATCCTGGCCTCTTTGGACCTCAGTTTCTTGAGTTGACTTAATGAGGATAATAATGTTTGTCTTGAGCTAATGACTTTAGATGGTTTTCTTGAGGGTAAAATAAAAATCGATTCAGTGCAAACATTTATCAAGCACTGATATAAACCAAATGCTGAGCTGTGTTTTGGGAAGAGATAAATGAAAAAAGAATGGCCCAGGCACTCAGGAAATCACAATACCTGTCATTAGAAAAGCAAGTGGGATTAATTAATTGTGGAATTGTTTCTCATTTCTTTGGTTGAATAAAAATAAGTGAGCATATATTTGATGAATAGCTTCTAAAATAAAACATGCTGAGGGCCAAAAAAGAGAACATGTGAAATCATTTTGAAAACCTAAAGATATTATCAGTGTACTATGATAGCATAATAGCACTGCATCATGATCCACACCTCATGATCTCATCTGAAGGTGAGCAGGGGATACCTGACATCGCTTACAAATGACTAAGTCATTAATTATTTTGGAGGATGACTAATCCACTTGAGCAGTAGTTAAGGATTAAAAATATTATTGATTGTACGAGTCTCATACCTATTGCTTCGTAATCAATAAAGCCTCATTTTTAGTTTTACAATATTTATCAATTTTCAAGCACCAAATCATATTGTAATTTTTTATCTAAGATGTCATTTGTGGGAGATAGAATCGCTAATTCTGAGAACGAGTCTCCCAACTTTCCAAAGCTTAGAAGTTAGTAGAATAAGCCAGTTTTTCCCACAACGAAGATGAAAGTTTCAAGTTTTTTTTTTTTTTTTTTTTTTTGCTGGTGGTGTTTTATTTTCTGGTGGGAAAGAAGGATATTAAACAAGTCTTTAAGGGAATATTGCTCATTTTCAGTTAATTGGTAAACTCAGTGGCTTGTAGTGTGATTTCCTGACATGGGTAACAGGGGGCTTCACTTGCTTCTTGAGGTAAAATTACTCTTTGAGGTGGATTCTGAGAAGGAATGTGAGTTACCATGGCAAGGATAACACAGATCACAACTGAAGAGGCAAAGTGTTCCTGAGATCCCATTCAAAGTTTTCAGCAGACAAAAAGTACCAATAGTACTTGTTCCATGCCAGGCCGAAGAGGGGGCTAAGTAAAAGCTTGCCTCTTGTGCGCACCTAATGTAACAGTTGATCTTGTATCTGAGCAAGGTGTCCCTGAAACTCCTACGCAGGGGACAGGGCTGCTGGGGGTGATATCCACTTGGGCATGTGTACATAGGTGATATGTGCAAAGAAGTGGGGCTTGGCCGTGTGACTTTCCAACAGGACATAATATAAGGGATTGTGTCAGTTCCATAACTAAGTGCAGGACCTAAGAGGCCTCAGATGTATGCTTTAGATGCCAGGAGAATAGCATATTTGTTTTCTCTGTATATCACATAGGAGTGAAATAACAGTGTTTATCTTTCTCTGTCTAGCTTATTTCCTTAAGCATAATTCCCTCCAGGTCCATTCATGTTGTTGTACATGACAGGATACCATCTTTTCAGTAGCTGAACAGTGTTCCATTATACATCAGTGTATTTATGTGCATATCTATCCTATATATTAATTGGTCAATCAATGGTCATTGAATTGTTTTTAAGCTGCTAAATTTTGAGGTATTTGTTACAAAATAGTAGCAACATAATGCATTCTAAGAATAATCACAGCAAATCACAACATGATTATTAATACTTATTTCTTTGTTTTGAATTTTTTATTAATGAGATGCCATTGTTTTACTCCTTGTTAATATTGATACTTATTTCAAGATGAACACATTACAGTAACAAAATATTTACCAACGATAGGAAATTCATATGGTCTATTTTGGAAATAATTATCAAATTTTTCTTAATTCATGATGGAATCAGTGTAAGACGATGACTCTTCGTATGATACTCATGCCTTTCTACCAATCTACTATGTCTTTGTAAGAAACATATAGCAAGACAGAAAGTGTTGACTCACAGGCCTTCTGCAATGCACTCAAGTGAAAGGACATTCCCTCTTAACTCCTCTTTGTTACTTGCACTGCCTTCTGGAGTTAAAAATGTTGGTGGCCGCTCTCTATTTGATTTAGCTGCAAATCAGAAAATCAATGTGCATAAATATTATGAATATGCATTTCTAGAACACAGTTCACTGTCTAAACATCTAGTCCACTTTTAAAACCATTTAACATTGATTGTGAAATTTGTAAAACTACACATACACACTCTGTCTTGCACGCAGCCATCACTCACTCCATTCGCCAGGAACAGAAACAATTTTGGTCACACAAGCACTAATGGAAGGTCGAGTTTACTTTTGCACATTTCCTTAATTTGAGTTAGGGTTTCATGAATGTTCAGTATGTTGGCAAAATTTCAAAATGTAGACATAGAAAAGCAAATAATTAGCCATCCTTTAAGATTAGTGCTCATGTCAAAGCCAAAATTAGCTGTACACTGGAAGGTGTTAAAGTTTTCTGAAAGATATGATTATGAAAGGGATATTTTGTTTATACTAGGTTTTCACATCAAGCCAATTCCATTTATTAATCATGTAAGTAAATCTGAGGTGGATGGCTAACACTCGAGATCCCCAAATGCTAGATTTATGGAAAAGAAAACAAGAGTTACTGACACAGGTTGTCAAATTGTAGGCCACAAATGAAGAATAGTGGCGGAGTTATATATAATCTGAAATTGGTTTCCTCAATGGAAAAATAAATAGGGCTCAAGTCAAAGATTTCAGGGAGATTTATGTAGGTCAGTTTCTTTTTTATAGAGCTCTTTCTAAAATGTGGCTCTATCTTCTGATGTCCACTCAAAAAGCTAAGTAGAAGTGATACTCTCTAAGGTTCAGAAGACTTTGGCTGTTTGCAACACTTTAATGCATTACCTATTTGATGCTCACAAAAACTGACTGAAAATGTAAGGCATGAATTATTCTCATTTCTTAGAAGAAAAATTCTAGATAAGGCATTACTTGTAAGAAACTAGAAACTTCCTAAGATTAGAGAGACTGTAGAAGGAAGCTTACCTCTCTGAAATAACTTGGGGAATGGTTTTGAGGTCTATATTCCCCAAAATAATATTAAAGTAAAATAAATAGGGGCAGGAGCTGTGATGGAATCTTAATTTTTTACTTTATATCTCAAGGGTGAAAAATTAATAGAGCAAATATTCTGCATTATAGATAATTAAAAATACCCCTCTCTCTAGAACCCATTACATGCATTGATAGATTCTATACTGAAAGCCTTATTTTCCTTAAGGAAATCAAATTCTTTTCTTTTTAAGAGAATGATGTTAAGTCCTCTAATTTTAAAAAGAGTACTTCCATTTAAGATAGTGACTCAGTTTTAACACAACTAGGAAAAACACTATTGTTAATTATATGGATAATGTCATGTGAAAACAAATGGGAAGTGTGATGATTTACTAACAAAATCCATTTAGTATTAGTTGTTACACACTACTAAAGCTTTGATGAATTAGCATTATAGCAGATTATTATTTAGTTCATGAGACAAGTTTATGAACAAGACAAAATAACGAAATATACAATTCTGAACATACATTAAAGATTTCTCCAAACTATGTGAAATGGTTCTTTACATGAAAACAGTTATATAAATTTTATTATTATGCATACAACATATAAACGTTTAGTGACATATTTGAAGTCTCAAATTTTATAAGAAACACACTTATTCTCATGGTATTAAACATATAATTAGGAATTTCATATAGAAATAAGGTTAAACAGCCATGGAGGTGAAGTTAGTGAACTAAATTCTACAATGAGGGAGGAAATATCAGTTACAATCACCGTAACTCACCACCATAAAACTCAGTGTCACTCAAATTAGCAGCTATAGTGTCATTCAATTCATCCACTGAAATAAACAGAATAATATGAAGAATGCACAAACGTAGGGGAGAACGGTCAAAAAGTATTGGGCAACAAAAGCAAATGTATACAGTGAGGCTGACAAATTGTCAACCCAATCAAGTAAAACACAGTGTTTTACATTGTACTTGACTAACTCATAATTCACTCAGCCACCCCCAGCCAGTTACGATGTGAGCATATAACTCAAGCTGCAGAACTGCCAATGATAGGCATTGTGGCATAAAACACAGGCAAATGCTCAGTACACCAAGCAGATTTAGAAAACTATCATGGAAACAGTAATGGCACTAACAGCAAAAATGTAAAATACTGCCTTTCAGGTGGGCATCTTCTTTACAACACATGCCGACATATTAGTGCCTATTCACAGCTAGTTTCCAGATCAATAAACCTGTTTACTTCAAAGTGAACAGTATTTAATAAGTAATATATTGCACATATTTCAAACATCACTCAAAGAATGATTCAGGAAGCTGAACTCTTACCTGAAATCACCTTCACAGAAATAGGTTGCTTCTGCTGTATGGTTTGAGTGTGATTAAATCTGGCATAACAGATATAATCTTCACGGGTGTCCTCTGGGAGAACATTGGAAAAATATAGGTCTCCATTCAGACCCTGGGAAACCCTCTCACTTTGTGGAAGTCTTTGAAAGGCTAGAGAAAGACAGAGAGAGCTAGGTCATTCCAGCATAGAAGGGCCACTTTCTAGCTTAGCAAGACAGATGCATCTATGAGAAGTTCTGTGAAATAAACTTTTTTCTCTATACAATTCTCTGAGCAAAAGCAAACAAATGAAAGAGAGAAAAAAAAAAACCACAACACATTAAAACTCCAAGTGAGCCTACCCCGATCGTAATCTTTCTAAGGTGGGGAAAGAGGTGAAAGAAGTATTATACAGCGAAAAGCTTTATTAAGCAAGTATAACCCAACAAAGAATTAAATTTCAATTTGTGTGACTTTACCTATAATTTTAAAAAATTTTTGTTATCTATTTTACATCATCCTTTCTTTTTGTACAATGTCCGCTTTCTCCTCTCGGGTGTAGTCCCTGTGTAATTCCCACCACCACTTCACCTGTGCACCATCACCACAGTCCCTGGTGTCTTCCCTCCCTTGTTCTGACCTGTCTCCCTTCTTCTCCCCTGCAGAATGTCTCTGATTTATAATTGCCTGTGAATTTTGTTTTTTATTTATTATAACTAATTTTTTCCTGATTCCTTGTTTATTGCAGCCCCATTTTCCTACAATTTTAATTAGCCCCTAATTGTTAAACACACACAGACCCACCCCTGCCTTTAGAAAATGTGTTAAGGAAACATGTTAATGCAGGTTGCCTCTACATGTATGGTCAGAAACCAAATACTGGGGCATACTTAACAGTCAGCTGAGGCCTGTGCTCAGCCTTGGGTTTTCTGGGGTCCCTGTCTGACTCAGTTCGTGATCTAACTGAAGGGCCAGGCAGGACCCAGTGCCACAGTGACAGGCACAGTGACTGAGTGCTGTGATGTGGTCCTCAGAGGCCTCCCTCACCACCCAGGCCTTCTCTTTACTGAATTGCTTGTCATCTTCTACTACACAATGTATTTTATGTGCCCCACTGACTCCCGGCTACAATTCAAGTTCGAGGAGGACAGAATGACACCTGCTTTCTCTATTGCTGTGGCACTAAAATCAACTAGGCCCTTACCAGGGGTTCCATAAATATTCATTGGAAGATTAAATGAATACTTATCAGCACTCTGAATTTTCAGTTTCTTTTTTTTTTCAGGATTTGTGCATTGCATTGAAAGTTAATTATACAGCCATAAAACACTGTAAATGGTCAGTATATTCAAAAGTTCTTGATAAAACTTCAAGACTTTATGTCATGAAGTTTCCATTGCACCTTAAATATAATACAAATTGCACTATGTTGGATCTGTGTAAATAACATGAAAAAATACCACTATAAAACTTGATCTATTATAAAGAGACTTGGAAAGAAGACTTCAAGGAAACACCATATTATGCTATCATATTCCACTAATAATACTTCAGTTTTTCAAAATGATTTCCCCTTTTTTACCTCTTTATATTCTCAGCATGTCTTACTTTAGAAGCTATTGTATCAAATATATGTTCAATTATGCTTTGTTCTTTCTTGATCTTGTCTCTCCTTTTCTTGATAATTATGATCTGACTTTCCAGTTTTATGTTTGACAATTTACTTCCTCTTGGGTCCACTTCAGGGGTGGAAGGAGGATTTTCTACATAGGGAGAAAAGGTGGGGTGGAGTCCCACTGATGTATAGTGAATTTTCCATGTGCTGTCTAACCCACACCACGGAGCTTCTGACTCAGTTCACAGAGTCTACACTGGAAGGGTTCTTCAGCTCTGACGTGAGAGAATAGGAAAAGTAACACGACCTGGGGGCCTGAGGTCAGGAGTTTGTCTCCTGGGGGTATCCTACATTGTGCTCCTTCTACAGCAGGTGTCTTTGCTACCATTTCACAAGATGCAAAAAACTATAGCTAAAATCTAGCAGCTTTAGGGGCCTCCTGGTGGTGCAAGGGGTTAAAGCGCAGCACTGTGAAGCTCTTTGAAGCCACTGCAGCATGAGCTTGATCACCAGCCAGGGAGGTGATTCACATGTCTGAGCAGATCTCTCCTGTCCTGTCCACTGCTCCCCTCTGCCATATATTTCAGTCAATATGGCTGTTGACACTTGCATACATTCTGTCTCTGGTGAATCCTCTCACCCCTCACCCCACACACACCTCTGGTCTTTACCCCAGTTCTTGTATGCATAAATAAATAGATCTTAAAAAAAAAAAGCTAGCAGCTCCCTAAGGCTGGAAAAGGCAAGGAATGTGGAGTCAGAGTTTAAAAGAGCATTGGTTAGACATGTTACCGAGTTCTTGGTGAAGATGAAGGTTTGGTTGGCTGTTGTTAATTTGTGATTTTAAGCCATTAATGCCTGGGAGAAAGGTTGTTTCAAAAACCAGCACACACACAAAAATGTACATTTATTTATTGAATACAAGAGGTTAAAGATAACCATACATTTATTTCTCCCATTTTGTTGTATTTTATTATTACTATTTTGTGTGTGTATGTAGAAGAACTGGGTGTAAGTCAGATTCACCAGAGGCGGAGCAGGTCAGGTAGATTTATTGAAACACACTGACAAGGGCAGCAGCGGGCAAGACACGAGAAGTCTGCTGCACCGTGTGGGTCAGCTCTTTGGCCTGGAATCAAACTCAAGCTGTGGTGGTGACAGCGCTGAGACTCAACATCTCTAGGCCACTAAGGACATTCCTGTTGTATTTTATTACTGATGGTGATGGCAGAGCAAATGAACATGAATGGGACTTCATGAGAATGATATTACTTTGCTCTTTGAGTTCTTTTGCATGATATTTGTAAAAATGGTGTAGGCAGATAGCAATAACTTTGCAAGAAGAAAAATGACTTCAGGGTGATAGAGATTCAAATATTTTTTCATATTCCAGATGCAATTTTATTCAAAAGGTCCAGGTGCTTTGTATAGCCTCAAACATCCATAAACGGCACAGCTAGCAATGCAATGTGGGAAGAATTATTTATCAAGTGGTTTTGAGATTTTATACATGTAGACCTCTCTTTATTAAGAGGGAAGTTAATCATTTTTGAGTAAGAATAAAGAACCAAACTGGGTCTCATTTTGGTGGTGACATTTGCAGACTGTTATTCTTGAAGGCATACATTTTACATTTTATTTATACTCATTTACACTTTATTTACTTATTCTTACAGATTCTGTAAAAGCTGTTATGTAATCATTGGAAAGGACGCTTGTGCATTTTTCATTTACATATTTATTTCTATATTGTGTTATCTTCTGTGAATACTTTCATACAAATGTCAAAAATGGAAATTAGGGCCCTCCCTGGTGGCGCAGCGGGGTAAAGCACAGCACTAAGAAGCTAAAAGCCACTTCAGCATGAGTTCGAGCCCGCCTGCCCTGGAGGTGACCCACATGGTGCGGCAGACCTCTCCTGACCAGCAGTGTACTTCAACAGTTGGCCTGTTCTGCTCCCCACTCTCTCTGGTGAATCCTCTCACAGCCCCTGCACCTCTGGCTTGTACCCCAGTTCTGTATGCATAAATAAATAAATCTTTTAAAAAATGAAAATTAAATGTTACAGCTAAATTCTATCTCTCTTTGTTCTCTAAGGCATATACACAAGAACTGAAGCCATGCTATTACTGATCACTAAATTTCCGGTAAAGTCACTCTCTAATGTCTGGGAAGAAAGGTCGAAGTGCTGGCCTTCCTGACCTTTTCTGTCACTATCCCCTTAAGTCACTCAGTCTGGATACATGGTCTCCTGCGGGCCTGTGCACACACCAGGGTGTGCCCACCTTGTGTGTGAAATACCAGCGTTCCTTTCCCTCCAGGTAGTTAGGGGCATGCCTTACTCTCTCAATCCTTTAGGGCCCTGCTCAAAACTCTGCTTTATTATTTTTTTTTCACAGCACTTATTGCCAATGGACACCTGTTTTCCAATTCACTTACTCCTCCTTGCCCTCCACCCCTATTTACTTGACTGCAAAGAGTAAGTTCAATGAGAAGAGGAATTTAGTTCATTTAGGCCAGTGCCTGGTACATTGTAGGTGCTCAATAAAAGCAAGTGGATTAATGAAACGAAATGTTATTTCTTTTCAATTAGCATTCATTTTCCCAGGCATATGTAAAACATTTCACAAACATCTGAGTCACAAAAAGTAGTAAGTTATTATGATGCCAAATAACCATAAGACTCATGAAGAAAGTAAGTTCATACTGTTAAAACTTACAATTATCCATCCAGAATATTATAGGTGGTGGTAATCCAATTGGGGGCCTGCAGGGAAGTACTAAAGAGTGGCCATTTTGAAGTGTTATTGGTTCCAGTTTTTCTTTGGTCCACAATGGTGATCCTGTGATATAAAATAGTATCTCCTAAGTTAATTATGCATTTGAAAAAGTAAAAGCACTAAAAAGAAAAGCAAACTCAACTTTGGGGAAAATAGTAACTCAGGATATGTGTATGTTAAAATAAGGAGAAAATAATTTTTAAATACAGTGTGAAGTGAAAAAAAAATGGCAACTTTCATGCACTGCCATTAATAACATAAATTCAGAGCCAGGGACCATGTCTAAGAACTAATGTTACACAGATAATTAAGAAGAGACATAGTATTTTTACTACAAGTATGTTCTTCAAAAATAATTTAAAACACTTAAATGTCAAATAAATGTATGCCTATAGCTCTGAAGAGCAGAGTATTATATATATGTATACTTATTTATAAGACTGATGAGAGAAAACATGACATGTTGACCAGTCAGGAAAGATTATAAAATCGCCGTTCAGAACAAGCTTGTTTTAAACACATACCTACATAGGGACAGATCTACCTAGAAAGAAAAAAGGAATGAGTATCTCTTTGAATAGCTCATAAGTAATTTTAAAATTTTGATTTTGTGTATTTCTAAATAATTTTTTTCTATAATGAACATGTTACACAAGTAATAGAAAAAAAAATGACCAGAGCTGCAAGTAATCACTGCTTTTTAAGGACATGCTCTTGAGGTCATTGAGAAGATCTGGATACTGACTACTGTGAAAAGAGTCACCAATAACAAGGTCATGAGGCCACCAGATCACCAGTGAAATTTCTAAACTAAAATGTTTATAACGACACGTATACCTCAATTACCCACTTTATACTGAATAATTTTATCTGGCTTGTACAGGATGTTGGCTTGTTCACAAGATGGTGAGAAATAAATAATTAGGTCAATTATTACAGACTTGTATAAGTGACACATTGGATTGGAAAACCATTAGGCTGACAAACGTGTTCAGTAAACTGGAAAGGGCCATTAATTTTCATGCAAAACAAGGTGCTTTTTTATATGATGCAATAGCATTTGGATAATTAATAGATGCCGAGTCTTGGAGCAAAATCTGAAAAAGAATTTTTGTTTGGCTGACGAGTCCTACTTACTAGATGGTCGGACAATAATGTTGTTAGAAATTGCAGCTCCACGTCCATTCCTGGCTGTACACTGATAGACCCCCTCATAGGCCTCTGCTTTCCCTTCACTCATAATGTTGATTATGAGGGTTCCTGAGCCAGTCTTCATCGTGACAAGAGGGTCTTTATCTATGTCAAAATGAGTCCCATTTCGGGTCCATGAGAAGCTGTGCAACACAATAAAGAATTAAATTTGCTGAAGGTTCAGAAGAACAAGATTACTTACTCTTCAATAAATTCCCAGAAGTATTATGGGTTTCTAGAAATATTCGTTAGATTTTAATATTCAGTAAAAGAGCAGTAAGCACCATACCTGAAAGGGTCATTGAATCATGACTTAGATAAAAGTCATACATTTCAAGGTACAAGACTTTACGAGATACTAACCAAGACACCAAGTGAAACCAACCTGGCAAACAGATTGCCCATCACTTTTCAAGGAAAACACAGAAAATGGTCTCCCAGTGAAACTCTCTTGGAGCTTTACTACCACTTTAATTGTAAACTCCATTGTTAACAGAATTGAAAACCTGTCTCTCAATATCTGTTCTGGGCTAAAATGTGACAGGAAAGTTCCTCAAGACTACTATGCAAGTGAAGTTTAGCTATGATCAGGCCAGTTTCAAATGATCAAAAGTCAATGTGTAGGACAGGAAGAAGGGAAGAAATGGTTCAGAGATGTTTTAAATGTTGATTATTAACAGCAATAATTCCATATGAAATATATTTTGAAAAACTTTTTATTTTAGAGAAGATATAAATTTCCTAGGAAATATTTCAAAATCTCACCTGAAATGTTGTTTATACCAAAGATTGAATTCTATAAAAGTATAGTGCTTGTGTCACTAAATACTTTAAGACTGGTCACAAGTCAGCAGGACCATGCACATACAGTGGCAAGGAGCTCCAAGCTTGCACTGTGTTTAGGCTCAGGTGGGTGTTTCCTCCCGCTTCTTGTCCTTATAGCAGTGGGAGGTGGTGATTGATGCTTCTGGCTTGGAATAGGTAGAATCCAGGAATGTTGCTGAATATACTATAATGCACAGGATAACTCCTGCCCAGCAAAAAGGGTCCAGCTCAAAATATCAATAGTGGTGGGATACAGAAACTCTGTCTTACAGAGTGTCCAGTACTATCTAAGGGTAGAACTTAAGGGCAGCTCCATCAGAGGACAGCACAAAAAGGAAAGGGATGGAGCACTACAGGGTTTCTTTTCTTTTTAAGGCTTATTTATTTATGCATACAAGAACTGGGGTATAGATAAGAGGTGCGGAGGGGGGGGTGGTAGTGGTGAGAGGATTTACTAGAGACAGGGTGCAGAACAGGCAGATCAACTGAAATACACTGCTGAGGGGAGCAGCAGGAGAGGTCTGCTGCACCAAGTGGGTCAGCTCCCTGGCCAAGGATCGAGCTTGTGCTGCAATGGCTGTGAATAGTTTCACAGTGTTGTGACATAAGCCCTTGTGCCACCAGGGAGACCTGCTACAGAGTTCCTAATAATGTTTGAATCAAACCCTTGATGGAAGTGTCTGTCATCCTTGACTTAGTACTTTTTTTTTTTTTCCTGAGGTACCAGTCTGTGAGAGTTTGAAAAGGCTACTAATAGATAACTTTAGAAATCAACTATGCAGGAACTCTTACTTCGTTACTCCTTAAAAATCCACATTATATTTTAATAAAAATCCAATTCTCCCAAACTCCTATTACTGGATATGTCACAGGTCATGTAATTAGCTGTGGGATCTTGGAATGTCACACTGCTGACCTCTCACATAGGCTGGCTGCGCCAGTTACTCTCTACTGCGATGCCAACATCCATAGGAAGATCCCTTAGTATTGAACTCTGCCAAGTTTGGAAAAACATTTAGGTAGGACTGTCATATTTTTCTAGAGCTAGTAGGCATCTTGGATGTCATCAAATTCAACTTCTTTATTTTATAGATAAAGCAGTTAAGAAAAGGAATTTGCCCATATCACAGGCCATAGGAAGGTCATTTTTCATATTCCCCTACACTTTTTGAGCATTTCACAGAAGGGCCTGAGTACAGAAATGCAATAATGTTGGTTTTCAAGAAGAACAAACTGACTTTAATCAAGCAGAAAGACAAACAGAGATACATGGGACCTGAAATTAATTTAAAATTAGTGTCAGTGATTACTTTTAATACTGTAACAAAACAGGAAGCACACCCACCTTGGAGGAGGTTTCCCCTTGGCCTCACACTGAATGACAATATTCTCCCGAGGGTCAATAATATAATCTTTTGGAGACTGGTGAGTAATGGTTGGAGGTTGTACCACTTCATTGTAGAAAGAAGAATGTAAAGAAATAAATAATTTATATTATGACAGCAATCATTTTTTCCTATGTCAAGTGCCTGACCCTAAACTAAATATGCTCCAAACTTCTATTGTGGCTGTACATACCTCAGTAGATTTTTAACTAAAAATTTCTAAAACTTCAAAATCGAGATATAATTTCCTTTTGGTGACTTTATATGCACTCACAAAGCCTATTTTCCCACACTACAACATAGGGAAAATAATTACTATTGCAAGTCTAATATAAAGACAGTTTCTTTTCTGATGTAACAATGAGAAATTTCTTGCATTTCTTTGATTCAAATGAACCTTTCAATGAAGTTTAAGTTATGAGCTAAATATGCATTTTACTTAGGAAAGAGTAATTGACTTATAGGGCCAATGTGTTCAGGTAACTATATATTATATATACATCAAGAACAAATAAATCTGAGAAACTTACTTTTAAATGATAGAGATTTAACATGTTATTAGAGCCAGGAGGTGGATAGCTACTAGGAACAGTCTTATTTAGAAGATAAATAGAATTGGGAAGTTTTCTATTAAAGGAGACACTTTCCCAAATATTCTCTGGTCATTTATTAGCAAATCGTGGGGAGAAACTGTCTAAAGAAGAACAACTTAATATGAATACACGCAAGGCTCAATCATCTTAAGATCACTATGTTCTTCCTGTGAAATCACAGAATCACAGGTTTCAGAAACGATAGGGGGTTGGGTCTCCTTTTCTTCCTCAGAGCAGCAGAATGGCTTGACGAGGGAGGAAGAAGACAAAGAAGAGAACTAGTCAGTCCCCTAGAAGCCAATGCCTTGCACAACTCCAGAGAGAGCTGCTCCAGATCAAAAGCTCTCAACCAGAGGCAATTTGCTCCCACCATGAAGTGACATCTGACCATATTTAGAAATGATTTTGGGTCACCACTGAGGGCCAGGGTGGTGCTGGCATCTAGTGGTAGAGGCTGAAGATGCTAACTATCTTAAAATGTACAGGGCAGCTCCCCAAGCAGACTTAACTGGGTCCACATGTGCAGGGCTTCGCTGAGAAACCTGGCCCAGAACGGATGTGAATGGCACCCCCAGAGTAGTGCGAGGCAGTGAACTGCTCTGCCCTGCTGCATGCAACTTTCCCCAAGGTTCTCTTAGGCTCTCACTTTCCTTCCCTGGATAAGGTTTTCAATTTTGGGATCTTCCTTTTCCTCTCCTCTCTGTTCTTTCTTTGTGAAATCTCATACTTGCCAACCAAGCATTTTCCAAAGCTTAATAATTGCCCTCTGAGCTTGTCTTCCTTACTGTAATTCATCGGTGATGGGCTAAATTTACCACTTCCATGTTCAGTGTCTTATAAATCTGTAAACATGACTTGTTCTCTTGCCTTGTCTCCAGTCCTCCAGATATCTCTTACTAAATATCCAATAACACCTAAAATATAGATCAAAAGCTAAATACAATCCTGTTATTACTTATGCACCTGCTAAATACATGATATTGGACAGAAGCAACTGCCCTACTTTTAGCAAGATATCCCCCTCAGATCCCCCCACATACAGAGAACCTCATCTCATCCTTGGTTCTAGCCCTGTCAGTTCCCAATGCTAGTTCGCAGTTTGATCTAATGGTTAAGAACTAGTCTGTTTTTTTCTTACCAGCTGGAGGATTTTAAGCACATTTCTTAACTTCTGTGAACCCCAGTTTTGGGATTTACAAATAGCTATCTATCGCCTAACATCACTAGAAGGGTTAACTAAAAATAATTTGCAGTGCTACAATGGTTCACTGATGTTAGCTGTTTGTAATTATTATCACATTCATTTATATTAGGCTAATATAATAGTGATCCTTTAGACTCCAGGAGTATAGAGTTTGGGGTGAAGGGAGAAAGCCTAGAATTCCGTATTTAGGGAATGTTGGACACAGGTGGTGGGTGAGGGGATTCTCAGGACTGATTGAGTCCATTTTCTTGTGCTTTTCTGCAAGTGCAAGAGATGCAAGTCGGAGGTTTCAGAAACAGCCCCCAAAGCTGTCTTCTTTCAGGCATCTGCAACTGACCACCTGCCCCTCCTAACCGCTCGGATTCACCATACAGAGGTGTACCTCTTTGAACAGAGCTTAGGTCAGCTGGCAACTAATAAATACCTTGATGTAATCTAGGGAAAAGGGTATTTTACACAAGTTTCTTGAATAATACAATGTGAGAAGATTTTTCAAATGCTTGGAAATTTTTTGGTAGATAGCAGAGGCCACCCAGCTGGGTGAGGCAGGAGGAGTTTCCACTGAGAGCAAACCACCCAGCAAGTGAGGCTGCTGATTCGTTCTGGCACACTTTAAAAATGTTCGAAACTGCTCGGCCATGATACTGGTGACACCTATAAACATTAGTCTGAATATTCTGGCAGGCTGACAGGAATAAGACATCAAATAGCTGCCAACCCAGACAAGTGTCTGCAGGCACCCAACTTCTTAAAAACATGGAAAGCAGTGTCTTCATTCCAGCCAGCATTCACTAGCCTCTAGTCATTCTCTCCAAATGTTGTGAATTTTCTCATTGAGTTACATCAGATGTGAATCAAGCTTGGAAGTTAGTAGAGTAGATACTGGTAAAGAAAAAGAGGAACACCAAAGTCTCCAGAATTCATGCAGGGAATATATTAAATGTTCTTCTTGGTATTTAAATGAACTGGTTAGCCACAGTACTGTTACACATGCGTAAAAAGACATTAGTCACAAAACATGACATTGTGTGCATTTAATTCATCGTATTAATTCAAAAACAAAGACACAGTCATATGCTCACACCACCTAGTACAGAAAGACACTTACAGTCTTCAAGAAGTTTTGCTTTTCCCCCATCAATATCAGCAGGTGAGTGGGCAAACAGGATTAAAGAAAACCAGACGTTAGTAATAAGAACGTTAGAACCCTCAAGATAAAAGGGGCATTTTTCTATTTCATCTGCCCTAAAAATACAGTACAGCAAAGACTGAAATTTGTGAAGTTGCAAGAGAAAGACTCTCCCATTAGCGGTTTTGTTTATTCCTGCAGCACCTATCCCACATGAACATATGGAAGAACAAAGGAATGCTGTAGGCAAAAAAAAAAAAAAAAGATTCCTCAGGAACAGGAATGGCTAATTCCATCCCATTTGAGTTGTGCTGGACAAGCAATTATGTTCAAGTTGAAAAATAGCTGAAATCTGCAATTCATCTGAGTCGCCACAGTCTGTGTAGTGTCTGATCCTATTATCCCAGACATCACGACGCACGTAGCAACACCTAAAACGGGACCTGCTATGATGATAAGGCTCCATGCCAGGCTAGCCCAACTCTGGTTTTCAGTTTTTATATTTCCATGGTCAACTCCCAAGCCAGCAACTGAATTTTTCAGACTGTTAGCATATTTCTGGTGCAAAATTCTTCAGTCACCCTGGGATGATAGGACCCATAGCAAGGAGCAGTTCATATAGAAAGGGTATGAGGAACAGGGGCAGGGGAGAAATTACATTAGCATGAAGTTCAAAGGATTCAGTACAAGCGCTACTTGTCATTACTACTTGCAAAGGTTAATGCGGGAGCGCTTGGGTTATCCGTGATTTTCTTTTCATCACGGTTACGCCTCTTCTCCATTAGCGGCAATAATTGAGTTAGCCTTAGGTACTGTTTCCCTCTGATTGTTAGATTGAGCGGTCAGATTAAGTGGGAATATATTTAACACAAGAGAGAACAATAGCATTTCTATCCAGTGCTTTTCTCTCTTTTGTATATCTTAAGGCAAATGCTTGCTTAGGCCTCCTGACTCTACTGGCTTAAGCCATCCTATTTCTTTTTGAAAGTTGAAAAATTGAGGTCATTGAATATTTTTTAAAAAATAAGAAAATATTACTTTTTGTGTGCTTTAGACCAGAATCAACAAAGTGTGGAGCAAACCCCATCTCTTCTTAATGTCGCCTCACTGGGAATTGCAACCTCTTTGGCAAAAACTGACATCTCAGCAACTGAACAGCCCAGAGAAGTGCTATCTTCTTTGCACCTTGGAAAGCCTGCCAAACAGATGTTCTATTCAGGAAGCTAATGGATTTAAAGAGGCCATGCAGATTAGGGATAAAAGATAAATCAATTCTGAAGTACAGTAATTATCCAGATTTGATATTCTGCTTTTCATTGCAGGAAGACAAGACAAGTTGGGTCTAGCATTATCTTTACTTTTCACAAGTGAGCCATCCAGACCTAGGGGAGCAAAGGATATGTTTTTCTATCAGGAAACAAGTGGGCTAACAGAGGCTGTTACTACCTTTTAAAGACTGTTATTTACTACCTTTTAAATAGCTTTCTTGCAAGTTTGTATCTTGATCTTTGATTGTACTTTTTAAACCAACAAAGACCACTCAGGTTTTACATAAGGTATCTTTCCTCGATTTAGACTCATATTTAAGATTCAAGATTTGAGAGTCAATTGCCTCTTCTGAATTAAGAGAAATAAAGGAAGTGTGTTTGGGGATCCAGAGGGTTGGCTGAGAGACCATCCCCCATCATTTCCAGGGCACTCAGCTTGTGAAGGGAGAGGTGGAAAAGCAGGGAGGGGCCAGCGGGGGAAGTCTCCCTGATTGTTGTGAAGTGAGATTCATATTGTTTTCTTATAGGACAGCTTTCTAAAGAATAGCTTGTTGGGAGGATCAGGGCAGCTCACAAGTCCCTCCCAGGGCATCTTTTCCCAGGTTCACAAAAGGCATCTGGTGGCGAGGAAGATAATGATAGAGAGGATAATGTGTCTGACTGTTTCAATGGACATTTCTAGGGTGTGAGGCTTTATAAACACCAGGTGCTGAAGGTAAAAACCAAATTAATTTTGATTAGCTTTTCAGTATCACACAGACACCTTCCATTCACACAGTTCAGAGTGATGCTAAATGCCAGGGAGGCTTGACTCCCGGGCCTAACAGCTTTAAAACGTTAATACTTACGATCAAGGGGTACTTCCAGTGCACTAATCATCTGGCACAGGAAAAGAACCAGGGGCACTCTGCCTGCAGATAAGCGCTTCTTTTTCGGCATTATTTTAAGCTGCATTAGCTTAACTCCTGCTGAGATTCACAAACTGAATTTCCTTTTCTTCTTTCACAAAGGCTTTGCGTGCAATGTGTAAATAATTTTCACACAGGGAACTGAAAAAGGACAGAATAAGAATTATAGCACATTAGAGAGGAGGAAATGAAGAGTGGAAGTCTGCAGTACAGAAAATCAGTTCTGTATTATACATGAACTCTAAATGGAAGCTGACTTTTAAATATTTTACTCTCAAGACTGGAATAATCATTTATTCATAAATCAGCTGAAATCAGGTCAGGAATATTTGTAGTCAAGCAAATTCCACCTACTTTACCATCCTTAGGATTTTTTCCATTTCAAATATCTGAATTTATATCAGAGGTTACTGGGACTCTCCTAATAGATTAGGGAAACTTGACATAAAATAGTTAGAATGTGACTGTAGTGGGGAATGGCATCTCCATTCTGGCATCTCCATTCTGCAGATTATGTCTGGGGAAGTTCAGGCGATTGTTGCGAATTTGCTTCAAACCCCAGCAGCGATTTACCTTGATGCTGGCAAGAGACACACCAGGGCCTTGAGTTGCAGGCCTTCCCACTGCAAGTACCCTCCTGAATAGTGCTATTTTTATTCTACTGGGTTTTCTTTGGTTACATATTGGGAGTAGTTATATGAATAGACTCTACCAAATAGTCTCATATATCTTCAAGCAGGTATTAAAAATTCCTCATGAAATAACAAAAATAATGAACAACCATATACCAGAGACATTTTGTGGGGGTGGAGTGGGGAATGGGATCAAAAACGGGGGGGGGGGATGCACAGGATTATGGTGATGGCACACGGGTGACTTGGTGATGGGAAACCCGCGGGGATTACAATCGAGATGGAAAAAAAATGTACAAAATGATGTAAAAATAAACTTTTGTAATAATAATAATAATAATAATTCCCCATGCTCTGGCCTCTATTTAGCCTATTCAACCTATTCAACTTATCTTTCATATGCATATAAATATTTCTTGAGTTTTCATACCTGCCTGCCTTTGTGTATCCCAATCTTTTGCCTGGAACTACTTTCTTTTGTTTTCTCAGCAAAGTTCAATTTATTTTTTTATAGATCATTTAAAATCAAAAGCGTTGATAGGAATCCAAACTACAAGTCATTTCATGCCCTAAGAATTCCTTAAATTCTTTGTTTTAATGCAGTGCACTATATACTTTGGTACATGGAAAAGTAGATGAGATTTTTTTTTGGAATGCCTGCTTGTCCCTCCTGGTAAAGATTGTGTCCATTCGATCACCCATGTAACCTGTGTATAGTATGCCTCGCCTCGCACAGGGAGTGTTTCCTGACACAAGAGAACATGGACACAAACACAGAATGTGCATGCTACTGCAGCTCTGTACCTGACATGATAGGTATAATCACACTTTTTCATTCATGCAGAGCAGCAAGAGTGATCAACGGCTCTCTCAAGAAGGTGGGCAGGGTGCTATGATTACAAATTCCGGTAGCTCCCACAGACTAATCACTAAATTAATTGTGTAAATTTTATTGTGTTTGTTTTTATAGCATTCATCTTTCTTACTAAATGAAAATCTCCTCAGGGTAAGAATGGTGTATTTTATTTTCCCCAGTGTGTCCTCAGAGCCCATCATGATGCATGGCACCTGGTAGGGAGTAAATAAATATTTGTAGGAGAAAAAAATGAAGGGGTTAAAGGGAAAAGAAATGGAGACTTAAAATCTTGAGAATAAAGATGCATTCAAATAGGTATACACTACCTTAAGACTCTGTATAGTTACACTATTGGTTCAAATAAGCTAACTTGTCAGTCAGTTATGATTAATTGGAATATCTGTAAGTGGGTTAGAACTTAAATGTATAAAAGGAAAATAAAACAATGTCATTAACATGTGTTTTACTGGCAATTAAATTCTGATCTGAACCTGATTAAAGTTGATTATTGCTAAACAAATATAAAGGACTCAGTATGTTAAACATAGACCTTATCGATATATAAATTGCATTTTGCAAATGAAACATCCATACTATATGGTTTCTTTCATTTAAGAGCCAGGAAATTTGTTCCTCTCTATTATAACACATTAACTATCATGTCCATTAAACATGGAGAGAGAGACACATAAATATTTGTAACTAAATGTAAACCAGATTGACTCTGAGTACAAAACATATCTACATAATTTAATTAAATTTACTTGGTTGTCTCGTGATTCTTCTGTTAAGAAATGTAAATTCTCAATTTACACATAAACTTCGGAGAAAACAAGAACAAATGACATTGAAACATGCTGCTGTTACATGCCACAAATCAGTGAGATGTTACAACCGTCAGCCACAGTCATTGAGAAAACAAATGGCAGTCAGCCTCATCTGTGTGTCGAGCTAACTGGCTTAACTGCCTAGCTCCCTGACTAGGTACTAGAGAACTAACACAGTCTCTAAAAAATATACTAGTAAATTGTAATGTCTATAAGATCTTAAATGCACACATACAATATCTGTTAGCTCTTCATTTATTATTTATTTTGCCTGGATGCCTTAACTATTTCAAATAGAGAAAGCTGTTAAACAACTTCATATACATGAAAGTATCATTCAACCTGTTTACCATTTCAGAGTATAAGGAATAAAATACTACACATTTTAGCACAGTGCCTGATGTAGATAAAAACTAAAGATTGGAAGAAAAATTGAGAAAGCACTTACTTAATGAGACATGAGTAAATCTTCAAAGTGAGCAGAGATCATGAACTATAATAACTGAAGATGTGGCCTCTCATCAGAAATTGTAAGCTAGCTGCTACAAAACTGTCTCTAGTGTGGTTCTGTTTGTGAGGACAAAGCAAAGGTCCAGCCTATCCTTGACTCCTGCCTGTGGAAAATCACCCACTCCTCCTCCGTGTGCCATCACAGGTGAAGAGCCCAATACAGCATTAGGTGCCTGCACTCAGTCCAACTGGAAGATCAAATACAGCTGCAGAAAACTGAGCTTTCTTTCAGTGAGAGCAATGTGTTCTGCACACTTCACAAAGAAAAACCACGGCTGCCGCACTCTCAGCTCCAAGTGAGCAGTTTACCCTCGGAAATGATGGTTATTCACTTGTAAGAGAGAATCATGACTAAACGGAAAGTGTTCAGCAATTATGCTTAAACGAATAAAGGCTTAATTTGAAATAACAGCATTACAATTAGTCAAGGGATGTTAGTGCAATAAAGTTTGTAATTTGCAAAAATATTTGCCACAGCCACTTTAGAGCAGTTGAGTGAGACAGATAGCAGCTTCATCTTTTCGATATAAATCACCCTGATTTTTAAAACCACATGCGCTGTTACAATGACCCAGAGTAGTGGGACACTGTAAAGTCTTTGAATATTTCAGTTCATTTAACTCCATTCCAAACAACTTTTCAAATATTTCAACAGCGTCTTTGAAACAGGAAGGAAAAATTCAAGGCTCTTTTACTTTTTTTTTTTTGCCTAAAATTGATTTTAAATCACACAGCAATCATTTCCCAGCATTATTTACCATATTATTTAAAAGTAAAGCCTGAAGTTTGAAAAAGGATTCACAGTAAGTGAGAAATTCAGCTCTCCTATGGCTCACTTTAAAATTCTTCTCATTAGAAAAAAATAATATCTATGTTTTACTCTTAAGTAAAAGATGAAATTATTTTAATTTAAAATTTGTATCAACTCTGCCAGAACTAGAAGGCCACGCATTACTTACCACATGATTCTGCTCTGTGCTTTTTGGCATCCAACACAGTGGTCCTCTGCTGATGGCACAATGTAACACGATCTGCTCTCTAAGTCATTAAACAAATATGCTTATGTCTGGACAACCTTTGACACACTAATTACTGCTCAGCAGACCCATGTGGCTGGCCTTACTGGCTGATAGCTAACCCAGTGTAAAAACCATGTTGGCTGTGAAAGGCATTTTTCATCAGTCAACTCAGTCATGGTCACCTTCTATATATTTTTAAATATCATAAAATTTAAGGACATTGTCCATTTTTTAGTCCATGTTTGTGTTTTTCAACCACAAAATTTGAGTCTGCAACCACAAAATTAGAATCTGAGACTACAGAAAGAAAAAGAAATGGAGAATGGATTTCATATAACATATCAACACCATCCCAACTGATGCAGGCACATAACTCCAAAGCACCAAGGGCTGCAGAAAAATGTAGTCGTGGCGATGCGACTGTAAAAATTCTAACAACCTCTTCAAATAACAAGGCAGACTTTTTGATTCCTCCTGGTTCAAAATAGTCCCATCATAGCATTATTCCAAGGAACTATGGAATCAGAACTTGGAATAGAACCTAAGGAACAGTAACTACTAACCTCTTTGTGGCCAACCTAAGGAAATAGTAACTAACCTGTTTGTGTCTTTTACCTAAATAACAGATAAAGCTCAAATGTTAACATACATATTAATGATTGGTCAGATCTTCATTCTTCATAGATAGTAACTAGTTATCTTATTTGAGATTCATAAAAATCCAAGGAAACAGATATGATACCTATTTAATAGATGCGGAAAAAGTCATTAATACTATTCACTGAGTACCTTCCAGGTGCCAGGGATCACAGCGAGTTTGCTTCATGTATTAACTTATGCCATCTATCTTATTGTTAATCTTAAAAGGTAAATTCCATTACATTTCCAAATTCACTGATAGGGACTCCTATCAGGATGGGAAGTAGGATGGGAAAGTCCTCTGCTCAAGGGCAGATCTATAGCCCAGTTCTGAAAAGTATTGAGTTTCTAGCCTCCTCACACTGCTGCTATCTCCTATCTCCTCATTTTGCATTTAGCCAATAAGCAAACAGAATTACCAAATTCAGTCAACATATGTGCCTAATATAAGGTACAAAGAGCCCATAGTTAAAAGTTAAGTAACCCAGTTTCTCCTTTGAGACAGTTATTATTACCAAGTTTTGTGAATCCTTCTAGAGATGTTTCACTCATAGAGAAGCATATTAAATATATATGTAAAGTGTATTGTATATAAATATATACACTACATATGTATATTATATATGTTTCTCCTCTCTCCAAATTTTAAGAACCTCTT